GTATGACATTCGTTTCCCGTTGATACAGTCACACATGAAGGTGAGCGCTAGGCACGTAACATCAAGTACTGTATCCAATAGCTTTTTCATTTTATTTTTTTTTTCCAACAATTGAGGATGATATGGATATGTTTTCTTGACGCATCTCAAGTTCTAATGAGGCCGCGCCACTGCCACGTAGTGTCTGACTCAGTAGGCACGGCACGGCACAACACTTGCTGGGGAAACCGAAGCGCTTCGATCCCCCACGTTCCAAGCCTTCCCCGTATTTTACCGTGTCGCTGCTGCACTGTTGAAAGCTGTGGGTTCGGTCGTCCCGTTACGAACCCAGGCCTTGAAACTGAAGAAAAGATTCGCATCGCTATGCCTCTTCCACCCAGGTGCGGGGAAAAGGGCAAGTCTCCTCTGCCTCATCCCCCTCGGTACGATCACCTCACCCAACTCCTCCCCACCGCATGCCTCTTAAAAAGCACTACATGCTCTTGCTCCCCCTGCTGCTCCTCTTCCTACTGCTGCTGTTCCCACCCGTTCGTGTGCTCCTTCTCCTACTACTGCCCCTCCTCCTTCCCCTCCTGCTGCTCCTCCTGCTCCCCCTCCCCCCCCCCCCCCCCCCGCCTCCTCCTCTTCCCATTCCTTCTCCATTCCCCTCCTCTGCCTCATCCCCCTCGGTTCTCACCAGCAGGGTGAGAGGGTACCGACCACTCGCATTGTACTCTTCAATGCTAGTGGACAAAACGTGGCATTCCATGAGACACATTCCAGCGAGCACCAGCAGAGGTTCAAGGCGCCTCACCAGCAGGGTGAGAGGGTACCGCGTCCACTAACATTGTACTCCTCAAACTCCGCTGCTCCTGACCCTCTCCTCCTCCTCCCACACCTTCTCCTCCTTATCCTTCTGATCCACCGCTCCCCTCCTCTGCCTCATCCCCTTCGGTGCTCACCAGCAGGGTGACAGGGTACCGACCAGTCCACTAGCATTGTACTGCTCAACCTCCGCTGCTGCTCGCTTGAAATCCGGGCGACTTTTGAGTCGACTCAAAAGTCTCCTCTGCCTCATCCCCCTCGGCGCTCACGAGCAGGGTGACAGGGTACCCGTCCGCTACCATAGTAGTCCTCAATATCCGCTGCTGCTCCTCCCATACCTTCTCCTCCTTTCCCTTCTGATCCACCGCTCCCCTCCTCTGCCTCATCCCCCTCTGTGCTCACGAGCAGAGTGACAGTGTACCCGTCCCGTCCACTAGCATAGTAGTCCTCAATATCCGCTGCTGCTCCTCCTGCTCCTGCCCCCTCTCCTCCTCCTCCCATACCTTCTCCTCTTTTCCCTTCTGATCCACTGCTCCCCTCCTCTGCCTCATCCCCCTCGGTGCTCACCAGCAGAGAAAGAGGGTACTGCCCACTCGCATTGTACTGCTTAACCTCCGCTGCTGCTCGCTTGAAACCCGGGTGACTTTTGAGTCGACTCAAAAGCCTCCTCTGCCTCATCCCCCTCAGTGCTCACTAGCAGAGTGACAGGGTACCGTCCACAAGCATTGTACTTCTCAATCTCCTCAGTCTCCGCTGCAGCTCGCTTGAAACCCGCCACTCCCGCCCATGAAATAATTGCCTCGATTCCCTTCACAACCTCGGCCACTAGCTGGTCTGCACTCCTTTTGAGGCGCCTCAAAAATCCGCCTCCATATTTGAGGCGCCTCAAAAATCCGCCTCCATATTTGAGCCGCCTCAAAAATCCGCCTGAATCTATGAGACGCCCATGGAAGATCCGCCTCGATTCCCTTCATAACCTTGGTGGCCACTAGCTGGTCTGCACCGTTGTCACACGCTGTTGTTACGAAGAAGCAGGGGGGAACAGAAAAAAAGGGGGTGGGGGGGGGGGGGGGCGGGGGGGAGAAGGGGAAGCGGGGACAGAAGGGTTCAGAAGGGCCACTAGCTGGTCTGCACCGTTGACACACGCTGTTGTCGAGAAGGGGATCGGGGTGGGGACAGAATGGGGAGCAAGAGGAGGGAAGGAGCGGTTTTGTGCTTCCATCTGTTCCTCAACACATGCTGTTATCAAGAAGGGAATGCGTTCAGATAGGAAGTAAGCAAGAGAATGGAAGGTTCTAAAATTTGAGTCGACTCAAAACTCACCACCTCTCCTCTCACCACCTCTCTCCTCTCACCACCTCTCTACTCTCACCACCTATCTCCTCTCACCCCCCTTCTCCCTCCTCTCTTCCCTCATACCCCCTCTCCCCTCATCATCTCGCTCCTCTCCTCCAGCTGATATTGCAACCCCTCTACCTCACCTTTCACACGCCACACCTCCCGCATGCGTTCTCACATCAGCCTCTCTCCTCAACCCCCCTTTCCCTTTCCCCCTCATCTCCCCCTCAACCCTCAACCCCCTCACCCCTCCCTCACCTCCCCCTCGCCCCTCCCCTCCCCTCAACCTCTCGCCCCTCTCCTCCTGCTCGTGAGCCCTCCTCTCCTCCTGCAGGCGACCCCCCTTCAACATGACGTCTTTGGGCTGCCTCCAAGATTCCTCCTTCACCATCTCACCCAACCGTGGAAAGTTTCGAGAATGTCTTCTTCGCGGCCTCCTTCACGGTCTCCTTTTGAGGCGTCTCACAAGGCTTTGGGCTCTCTCCAAGGTTCCTCCTTCACCATCTCACCATCATCTAAAAAAAATTCGAGAATGTCTCCCTCACGGCGTCACAAATGGCCTTCGTCACGGCCTCCTTCAGCTTCTCCCGACTCTTCTCCAAACTCTTCTCCATCTCCAGCTTCTCCATCCCCGCAAGTACTGCAGCAGTCAAAGGAGAGAAGCAGAGGCGGGGCAAGGGAGGAAAGACGCAGGAGGTTTCCTCCACGGCCTCGTTCAGCTTCTCCAGACTCTTCTCCAAACTCTTCTCCATCCACGCAAGTACTGCAGCAGTCAAAGGAGAGAAGAGGAGGCGGGGCAAGGGAGGTGACTCTTGAGTCGACTCAAAAGTCAGTTGTGAGAATGTCTCCCTCATGGTCTCCCTCACGGCCTCCTTCAGCTTCTCCTCCCATTTGTCCGTCCCCGCATTTACTGCAGCAGTCAAAGGAGAGAAGAAGAGGCGGGGCAAGGGAGGAAAGAAGCAGAGGCGGGGCAAGGGAGGAAAGAAGCAGAGGCGGGGCAAGGGAGGAAAGAAGCAGAGGCGGAGCAAGGGAGGAAAGCAGAAGAATGGAGGCAAGGAAGGAACACAACAAGCGCTGCCTGGCTGGTTGGGGTAAGTTCGTGGCACCACCAGTACCTGCGGGCAACAAACAAACAGACAGACCACTTTTGAGACGTCGCAAAAGTCGTTGGGGTAAGTTCGTGGCACCACCAGTACCTGCGGGAAACAAACAAACAGACAGACCACTTTTGAGACGTCGCAAAAGTCGTTGGGGTAAGTTCGTGGCACCACCAGTACCTGCGGGCAACAAACAAACAGACAGACCACTTTTGAGACGTCGCAAAAGTCGTTGGGGTAAGTTCGTGGCACTACCAGTACCTGCGGGCAACAAACAAACAGACAGACCACTTTTGAGACGTCGCAAAAGTCGTTGGGGTAAGTTCGTGGCACCACCAGTACCTGCGGGCAACAAACAAACAGACAGACCACTTTTGAGACGTCGCAAAAGTCGTTGGGGTAAGTTCGTGGCACCACCAGTACCTGCGGGCAACAAACAGACAACAAGCGCCGCAACGGGCGGTGTAACAGGCAAGGCGGCCCAACGCGACAAGGGGCGCAAGCTCTGAGCAGGTTTTGGTTATTCTCAAAAGCGACTCAGAAGGGCCGCAAGCTCTGAGCAGGTTTTGAGAATTCTCAAAAGCGACTCAGAAGGGGCGCAAGCTCTGAACAGGTTTTGAGAATTCTCAAAAGCGATTCAGAAGGGACAAGCTCTGAGCACGTTTGCTGCTACTTAACTATGAACCTGAATCTCAGGGAGTTGAGCAGACTGCAAATTGCACACGCATCGTGCATGCACATCTGGGTCGAATCTATTTTTCTATGCATCGTGCATGCATGCACATGAGCATCGGTCATACGATCATCGACAACCCCCAAAGGCCCTCTCTTGCGCACCTCGCTCACTCCCGCTCTCGTGAATGAGTTCATTCATCTTCTCTGGACAATCGTTTACACGGTGCTCCTCCCTATCCTACTGCTCCTCCCGCTCCTGCTGCCGCTTCTCCTCCCGCCTCTGCTGCTCCTTCTTCTCCCGCTCCTCCCGCATCTGCCGTTCCCTCTTATCCTCCAGATCCTGTTCCCCCTTATTCCCCCCCGCCTTCACCCACTTACCCCCCCGCTCCTGCTCCTGCTTATCCCCCCCCACCTTCACCCGCTTACCCCCCGCTCCTGCTCCTGGTTATTCCCCCCCGCCTTCAGCTGCTTACCCCCCCGCTCCTGCTCCTGCTTATCCCCCCCCACCTTCACCTGCTTAACCCCCCGCTCCTCCTGCTTATTCCCCCCAACCTTCACACGCTTATTCCCCCCCACCTTCACCTGCTTACCCCCCCTCTCCTGCTCCTGCTTATTCCCCCCCACCTGCACCTGCTTACCCCCCCTCTCCTGCTCCTGCTTATTCCCCCCCACCTTCACCTGCTTACCCCCCCTCTCCTGCTCCTGCTTATTCCCCCCCACCTTCACCTGCTTACCCCCCCTCTCCTGCTCCTGCTTATTCCCCCCCGCCTTCACCCGCTTACCCCCCCCTTCCTGCTCCTGCTTATCCCCCTTCGCCTTCACCTGCTTACCCCCCCGCTCCTGCTCCTGCTTATCCCCGCCCGCCTTCACCTGCTTACCCCCCCCTTCCTGCTCCTGCTTATCCTCGCCTTCACCCGCTTAACCCCCCGCTCCGGCTCCTGCTTATCCCCCCCCGCCTTCACCTGCTTACCCCCCCGCTCCTGCTCCTGCTTATTCCCCTTCGCCTTAACCTGCTTACCCCCCCGCTCCTGCTCCTGCTTATCCCCCACCGCCTTCACCCGCTTAACCCCCTGCTCCTGCTCCTGCTTACCCCCCCCCCGAATTCACCCGCTTAACCCCCCGCTCCAGCTCCTGCTTATCCCCCCCCGCCTTCACCCGCTTAACTCCCTGCTTCTGCTCCTGCTTACCCCCCCGCTCCTGCTCCTGCTTATTCCCCCCCGCCTTCACGCGCTTATTCCCCCCCGCAAGCATCACCTTGATCGCTTTTTGCTCATCTAACACCTGAGGGGAAGAGTGGAGAGCGGAGAGGGGACGAGAGAGGCAGCATGAGTTAGACAGGGGCGAGGGAAAGGGAGGAGAGGAGACGAAATTTAGTGCTGTATATAAACTGTAAGCGCACGCATGCTCAAAGCAATCTCTTACCTCGACAACTGCCGGTGACAGAAGAGGTCGGGCGGTGCTTATAGTTACAGTCCGGACAGGCTCCCCCGGCTGTAAATCCGGCTGCATCAGCCGATCCAACAGCAATTTGTGCTGACGACTCTCCTTGGCCCCTTCCCTCATGCCATCCGACACCCTTTCCTCGGGATCTACGGAGGAACACCCAGCTTTTGTGTGCTCTTCCGCGTGTGCCTTGATCTCGTCAAGGCTGCACCGCTGGTACTCAGGCTCCGGACAGAAAGGGCAACAGAAGGATCCGCCGGGGTTGAGAACGGTTGAGGGGTTTTTCAGCCGGTCCTCGTCTCTGGCGAGGTCATTTTCATCGTACGGACGCGCTGGAGTTGTCGCGGGGGATTGACTCGTCGTGGGAGATTGACTCGTCGTGGGAGATTGGCTCGTCGTCGGAGATTGGCTCGTCGTGGGATATTGACTCGTCGTGGGAGATTGGCTCGTCGTGGGAGATTGACTTGCCGTGGGAGATTGACTGTCGTCGTGGTCACCATTGTCATTTGACATTGACATGAGCTGGTTTTTGAGAATTCTCAAAAATTGACTTGTCATGGGAGATTGACTGTCGCCGTCGTCACCATCATCGTCACTTGACATTGATATGAGCATGGCAGTGACAAAGTTGTTGATGTATTCCGGATCCCCCCCATGCTCAACATGGTCTACGAGCTGCTGCTGACGACGAGACGAGGGGTGTGGGGGGGGGGGGGGGGAAGAGGAGGAGGAGGGCACATGAGCATGGCAAAGTCGTTGATGTATTCCGGATCCATGTCTACGTGGTGCTGCTGACGACGAGACGAGGGGTGTGGGGGGGGGAGGGGAGATTGACTGTCGCTGTCGGCGCTATTGTCATTTGACATTAACATGAGCGTGGCAACGTTGTTGATGTGTTTCGAATCCATGCATGCGTACGTGCTGCTCACGACGAGGGGGGGAAAGGGGGGGAGGGGGGGGTTTGGGAAGGCAGAGTGCACGCAGAATTGTGGTGCGCATATAATATAAGACCCTGGGGGGGGAAGGGAGAAGGGTTTGGGGGGGGGAGGGGGGGGCGAAGGGGGGGGGAAGGGCACAGTGCACACAGAGTTGTGGTGCGCATCGAATATGGGGGGGAGGTCTAGTTTTGAGGCGCCTCAAAACTAGGGGGGTGGGGGGGAAAGGGGCACAGTGCACACAGAATTGTGATCCGCGTCGAATACGAGACCCTGGGGGGGAGGAAGAGAGAAGGATTGGGGGTGGGAAGAGGAGGAGGACGGGAGCACAGAGCACACACACTTCACTCGCAGCACAGAGTTGTGATCCGCGTCGAATATGAGACCTTGGGGGGAGGGAGGGAGGGACGGAATGACATTCAAACACAGAAGAGGCAATGAGAGGCAGCAGCAACACTGCTCCGCAACCCCTCTCCAACCCCCTTGCACCTACTACTTACTTCCCTCCTCCCCCCACCCCACTGCATCCACCCTGCCCGCCTGCTCCCCTACTTCCCCCTAGCGCGCCTCTAGCAGCGGACGGTATGGCGGGAGTGCTGAAGATGGCGAATTTCAATGGCTAGCAAGCCTCGTGTAGCGAGGGCTGGTCCCCCTTGAAGGTGAGCTGGCAGGCCTCGTAGCCCGGCCACCCCCTATCTCCCCTCCCAACCCACCCCACCGCATTCCACTCCTCTCTCGCACCTGAAGTGCACCTCGAGCAGCAAGCGCCATAGCCGGAGTGCTGACGATGAGCCTCATGAGCTTGGCGTCTGGGGGAAAGCCTGTGACGAAGACCTTGCGAATCTGCTAGCGAAATGCGCGAAATGGGCGAAGCGGAAGAAAGGGAAACCACGGGGCCGGCGCTTTGGTTCGCTGTCGGAGGGTCTCACGAAAAATAAGAGCCTCGCGAACCAGCCTTTGGGCGGCCGGCAAAGTGGAACTGATGCGCCTCGTGCCGTCTGACTAACGTCAGCATTGGCTGGCGTCGACTATGGGAAACCTCGAAGCAGCGAGTAACAGAGTTACAGCGAGCTAATGCTGCGACGAAGATCGCGAAGATGAATGCGACAACAGGAGATCGCGCAGGCGACAGTGCGACGACAGGAGATTGCGCAGGCGTCAATGCGATGGCAGGAGATCGCGCAAGCGACAGTGCGATGACTCACCTGGGGCGATGACAGAAGGGTTCCCTTTGTACGCGATATGGTCTGTCTTGCGGCTTATCATATTTTGCATACTTCTTGTAGTCACAGACGCTGATACAAGCAAATATAAAAGTCCCCTAAATGCTGAAGGTGTTGGATGTTGAGAAGTACAAACACTACGAAATTTCCTGTGTTGGTTGCGAAATTAATTTATATCTAGGGGATGTTCGCCAGCACCATTATAGCAAAAAACGACGGGATGCGACGGGATCAGGAAGGTGGGTCTCGCCTTCCTGATCCCGTCAGTTAGAGTTCGTTAACCTCCGTCAGCCTGGTCAGCCCGTGAAAAAAGTGCCGAGCCTCACCTACCGTCCAAACCAACAAACAAAGTGGGCGTCTGGCGAACGCCCACTTTTGTCCACCAAATCTAACGCTTCGACGGCATATGGAAGCGGGGACGAAACTTCGTCCCCAGGCAAAACACCATCCCCTAGCCATGCCATCGCCATGCTGCGTTTTTCAAAGCACAGCGATGGCACAGCCGTCGCATTGCCGTTCAAAAGGGATCGAAGGGAAGGTGGGGATGGAGGTTCCCGATGCGGTTGAGAAATTTCTCAACCGCAGGCGCAGAAGTTTCCTGAACGGCATTACGGCCAAACCTCGGAGGTGGGTTCCACCTCCGTTTCCATATGCGGTCGCGATGCCGATGCCATCATTTTCATTTCAAAATACGATTTGCTGGCGAACAGCACCCTAGTCACATGCTGCCAACTGGAATTCGGTGGGCTCTGCTGTTAGAGTCACATATGGATGCCAGCACGTGCCATCAACCAGCCTGGGTGGTGATATTCCACGTATCCAATAGATTTTCTTCTTCTCCTGTGATTGAGGATGACGTGGCCATATTTTCTTGACGAAGCTCCAACTGTGATGAGGTCGTGCCACTGCCACGTAGTGTCTGACTCAGTGGGCACGGCACTTGTGAGGGAAACCGAAGCGCTTCGTTCCCCCACGTTCCACGCCTTCCCCGTATTTCGCCGTGTCGCTGCACAGTTTGAAAGGTTTGGGTTCGGTCGTCCCGTTATTGACCCCGGGCCTTGAAACCAAAGAAATAGATTCGCGTCGCTGAGCCCATTCCAACCAGTTCTGTTGCTGCGTTGATGGGATGACGCTACATAAGCAAAGCGCTGGAAGCCCACCGAAAACATCGGGCAGAATGGAAACATCTCGATCTGACTTTTACTTGGAAAATGATTTAGCGGCCACATCTTCGGGACGTCTGGAGCCGCCCTTCAGAGGCTCCTGTCCTGTTCTGGAGTGCGACATCATCCACCCTGCCGCTGATTCTGCGACGAAGTCTCGTACGTCGCACGCTGGCGAAACTATGTGCAAAGCACGCGACCCTTGTGCAACCGCATTCTCACGAAACTTTCGCCAGGATCTTCCGAACAAGTCGCGCTCTCGCCACACCCTACGAGTTTTCACATCCATCGAGCCGTCCGTGAAAGCAAAATCTCAGCATCCCGTCCATCTATCTCAGGGCCGGAAACCCATCGCAGGGCCATCATGCCCCGCGCCACGACAACTTGGCAAAAGTGAAACCTTGCGAAAAAACCATTTGCGGGAGAAAACAGGGGAACGGGCGCGGGGAGCTAGCAGCGCCCCTACTGTTTTCGGCATTGACGAACCCTGAATTGGGAGTGAGTGCTCGGTCGAAGTAGCAGAAAGAGCTAGCCTAGCCAGCTCTAGAAAAGCAACCAGCTATGCTGTCACCAAACCAAACCCCCGATTCCCCATGCTTCTCAACCGCTCCCAACCGAACCACGTCGGTCTGGGTTGCTCCTGTTTTTCCGAGCGCATGTCCAAGGTGCCAATTCCGCTTCTTTCGCCTCTCATCCGCGCAACTCGCGAGACGGGTTTTCCATAATTTCTGGCACTACAGCCACAATTCCCTCCAGGGTACCTACCTGCTTGATCAGCCTATCCCCGACAAAGCGAGCACAAAGTGTGTTTATTTAGCTGTCAGCTGTCCCCCTTCCCACCCCGCACGGCCACGGCACGTACTCGTTCATAAACAGCGAGCGCACGTCGTTTCATCGCATCGCAACCACCCATACCCTCCGCGCACGTCGCGCCTTGCCCAGTCCTCACCGTCTCCCTTCGCCTTCTCCTATCGCATTGCCGTTCTCCATTCGCCTCTCCATCTCGTGTCGACACTGATTCCTTGCTCCCCTCCGTTCTCTCTTTCCTGCGCGTGCCTCTCCGCCTTGCGCTAGCCTCCGCCCACCCCATATTCCCCGCAACGTGCGTGTAACAAGCCTTACAACCTCTCCCAGGGTGTGAGACCCTTACAAGCATCCATTCGAGGCCACACAGTTTTCTAAGGCACGTTCGACTGCGTGTTTCAAGTCGTAAAAGCGGATTGCGAGGCGGATAGCGTAGTCTGTGTTGCAAGCCATAGATAGACTGCGTGTTCCGTGCTGCACTGCGGAACCACGGCGTCGGCTGAATGCCCGGGACGGAGTTTGGCTTGTGATGCTTTAGCCGGGTCGACAAGCCGGCAGCCGTCTTCAAGCCTTTGCATTCTTTCATTCTTTCCGCCGGTCAGCGGCAACTCTGACGGTCAACGTTATCTTTGAGCGCCCGCATTGCTTCCGCCAAGCTTTCACCCGCATTTTCGTCTTTAGCGAACTACGGCGAAGTTTCTCAAATTCCCGGGCATTTAACCAGCGTACGACCTGTACCCGTTATTGACAGCCTCGCGTCAAGATGCCGCCGAACAGCAGCCCTTGGTCGCCTGCAGCGTGTATACCTTCCATCCCAATTCCCGAGCTCCGGCTCCCTACGACCGTCGCATGCAACGATGCGACGTCGCCGTGCGACTCCATCAAGATCGAGGGGAGGAAGAGCGAGCGGGTTACCAGCGGCGCGCGAATTGAGCGTTCGCCAAGCCAGGCATACCGGGACATGCTGGCAGATAAATGGTTCGCGTCCACCTGGTGAGTAACCAGGAAAAGTAGAGCTCCTAAGCGCAATTGTACGTTTCAGGAGGTAACGCGTTATGGAAAGTGAGGATGATTAAATTTCAAGGTGAAATGTGACGGGGAGGTGAAGTAGGCGGAAAGGAAGAGCGGGACGCGGAGATACGCGCAAGGGGCGAGGATGGAGGGGAGAATTGAGTGGAAGAGTGGGAAGAGGAAGAGGGGGTGGGTTCCGCTGGTGGAATGACAAAGCGGGAGCCAAGCGCATTGTGAGTGGCGGAAAGGCTGTTGGGGGAGGGGAAGGGGAAGGGAGTTGCGGCGGGTAGAATTGAGCGAGTGAATCACGGGTAGAAAGAGAATCATCAAAGGGACGTTTTTCTTACCCTGCTCAAACGATTCTAAAAACGTTAATTCGTTTCCGTTGCCCTGCCTAAATGAACTATTGGATGACATGTTACCGCACCGCATCGATGGTCACTACTTAGGAACATCAGACTACTCCCCGCTTCCTCCCTTCTCTCCCTCTCCCTTCCCCGCACCATCACTATCACTATCGCTGAGTCTCTCACTCTCGCTCGCTCACTGAGTCGCTCTCTCCCTTCCCGTCTCACACCTCTCGCTCCCCCCTCTGTTTCTCCCGCTGCCTCTCTTTCCCCCATCCCCCTTCTCTCCCGTCCCTTCTTTCTCCCCCTCTTCCTCCCCTTTCACCTATCTCCCTCCCCTTCCCCCTCTCTTCCGTCAACACATACCCTCCCAAATCCGTTGCTCCGTCTTTTCCCGTTAGTAATTGCTTCAAGTCCTCTCATTGTTCCTTCCTCTCTTCCGCCGTCTTTGCATCAGGTTCTTCGTACTTATAACGATTCTATCTACAGCGAGTTTTTCAAGTTTCCTGATCTTTGTGGGCCTCTTCCCCATTTGGATCCTTGTGGAGGTGAGTGTACTACTGTAACTGACATTGTTTTTCTTCTACATATCAACGCCAAATAATGCCATGCACTTCTGTGAACAATAGTATCGGTTTTGTAGACTGATTTTCCATATTGTGTTCACTTCTTTCCTTTTCCGTGTATTACAGGCGGTGTTCAGATACTTTCGGTACCAACAGTACCGCCACTACAGCGACAACTTTATCGATCCGCCGCTTCCTTCTATCGAGAGCATCGAGCGCCTTCTCGATCATGTCCTCGCTATAGCGTACGTGCCTTTCCCGCCTACCTTGGGAGTTTCGACCTCCTTGGAACTTCCGCCCACCTAGGTTTCAGCCTGGGTCTGTTTTATCGCTACCTTGGGAATTCCCATCCACTCTGTTTCGCTCCTTTCCATTTCATTACACGGGGGGGGGGGGGGCTCTTGTTCCTAGCTGGTTTGGCTGTGACTTTCTTTCAATATGGCCGTTGCTACATTTTCGAAACTAACTGTGCTTCCATCGGCTCTCCAGGCCCTCCTGTGTTAATATTTCCTGGACCCCGCTTTGCCGTCTCATTTCCTTTCTTTTGATGTGATTTTTTTTCCCTTTTTGCTGTCGACATGCTGTCCCCGCTCCCACAATGCTTCCTATTTTACGAGGAGTTCGCTAGACGCTGGTTCTAAACTAGTCTCCGCATTTCCACGTTCCCGCATTTTCCCTCCTGTTGTCGTATTTAACAGCAAGTACGTGGATTACGAGGAGTTCGTCGGAGGCTGGTTTCTCGGCACGCGAGTTAAAGAACTAACTCGCGAGCATGTGCGACAATTCATCTCATTCGGGTTCTACCACAGGTGATTTCCTTTTCTATGTACCTGCATACTCGAGGTAACACGAATTGCTTTTCGGATGATTCTGTTCCAGGGTCTGACCCTTTAAGGCGCCTTGATAATTCTACCACAAGTGACTTTCTCTCCAATGTACTGGCACATGCTCTCTTAATTCGTTTCGAAGGCCTCACCTCGTCGCTCTCCTTTTACCCCGCATCCCCCGTGCTCCGTCTTTCTACCTTCATTTTTCCCGCCTTCCCCTTCCCCCGTTCCCGTCCTTGGCCGCTCAGGTTCTATAACGAGCTCTCTCCGGAATACCAGGAAGCCGTCCGAGGTGCGTAATCAATAGCCGATCAGTTGACTAGTTACTATACCGCTCACTTACGCTCTTACAAATTAGGCCGATCACTCCGGAATATCTGGAAACCGTCCGAGGTGCGTTATTTAGAGCCGATCGGTCGATTACGTTCTAAGTATTTTCTTTCACATCCTGTCGTCTTGCCACGGTGTCTCCATGCCGTCCCGTCGCCATTTTCGCCCCTGTCGTCTTGTGACTCTCGCGCTCCGCTCCCGGCCGTAACTATCCTTACCCTCGCGTTCGTTCCTTCCATTCCTCCTACCCCCTCTCCATCCCCCACTCTCCCCCTACCCTTCCTTCCCCCCCGCTCCCCCGCGCCCTTTTCTTCCCCGCTTCCTAACCACGTGGTTCGGACAGAGCGCGCCATTGGCCTCATCTTCCCCGTGGTCTTTCCCTCCCTCTCCGTTTCCTCCGCCCCCTTCCGCTTCCCCTTCCCGTTCCCGTTTCCCCCACCCCCCGCTTTCAGACCACGTGGTTCGGACGGAGCGCGCCATTGGCCTCATCTTCCCCGAGGTCCTCCCCGCGCCCCCCTCCCCTTCCGCCGCCGCCGCCATCGCTTCCCCGCCCCTCTCCGCGCGCCCCTCCTTCTCCGCCTATCAACCCGTTCCTATTGACTCACCTGCAGTAGGTCCGGCAGTAGGTCCGGCAGTAGGTCTGGCAGCAGGTCCGGCGGCCAAGGCTTCAAAAACCGTCGGATCTTTCCAGGAAGATGATGATGCTGGTTCGGAGAGCGGAGAGGCTGTATACCCATGCACACTGGAAGAGGAGAAAGCAGGAACAGCAGTGGAGGAAAACCGTGCTAGTGCTGGCGCAGGTGCTGATGGTTCCGCTGCGGTCGGTGCTGATGCTGGCGCTGATGACGCTGATGCTGATGCGGTGGATGCGGCGGCGGCTGTGGTGGGCTGTGGTGGTATGGCCGGGTGGGGTAGGAGGAGAAAGCCCGAGGTGCGGTTCATGTCGCACTGCCGGGAACCCATCCGCGCCATTCTGCACCCCTTGATCCTCTACGTCTGGTACGTTGCTCTACTCTCTACGTGTGATTCGTTCCGGTATGGCTGTGGTGGGCTGTGGTGGTATGGCCGGGTGGGGTAGGAGACGGAAGCCCGAGGTTAAATTCATGTCGCACTGCCGGGAACCCATCCGCGCCATTTTGCACCCCTTGATCCTCTACGTCTGGTACGTTCCGTCATGGTCTGGTGCATATGACACTTGTGTAACAGATGTGGCTGCGGGTGTTAGCTGTGCGTTTTCCCCTCTCCCCCTCCGTCCCCAACCCCTGCTCCCACCCCCTGCGCCGAAACGGAGCATGAAGTCACTACCCTCTTCTCCCTCAAACTCTCCGCTGCTTCTGCTGACTCGTCCGTTCCCCCTTCCCCTTCCCTTCTCCGTTTCCCCTCCCTTTCCCCCTCCCCTCCTCCGTCCCCACCCCTCTCTTCCCAAACATACAGGGGCCACATAATCGGGTGCCTCACCTGTCTTGCAATGCGCTATCTGGGCTTCACGAAGCACTTCACGTCTGACGGGTTCAAGTACTGGGTCTTACCTACCCCCCCTCCCCTGCCTCCCCCCACACGCAGGGGCCACATCATAGGGTGCCTGACGTGCCTTGCAATGCGCTATCTGGGCTTCACAAAGCACTTCACGTCTGACGGGTTCAAGTACTGGGTCAGGGAGCCCCGCTGCCGCTTTCACCCTCATCACCCCCCTCTCTGCTGCTTCCACTCCACCCCTTTCCCTCCACGCGCAGGGGCCATATAATTGGGTGTCTGACGTGCCTTGCGATGCGCTATCTGGGCTTCACGAAGCACTTCACGTCTGACGGGTTCAAGTACTGGGTCAGGGAGCCCCGCTGCCGCTCCTTCTCCTCTACAGCCTTCACCATGATTAACAAACTCTCCGCTGCTTCCGCTGACGCTCGCACCAAAGCTGATCGGATCAGCTCTGATGGGATTGGCACCAGGAGCAGCAATAACAGCAGGGAGAGCACGGATAGCGACAGCAGCAGCAGGGGCATGAGCTTTGGGTGCAGTGGCGGTAGTTTCCGCGGCAGCAGCAGCAGAGTCAGCAGCAGCAGCAGTGGTGACGATGGTGGCAGCAGCAGGGGGAGCAGGGAGGGCGGTGGAGTGCCGTTTCCTTCATATTCGAGTGTAGCTGGTGCAACTGTGGATTATAGCGAGGATGAGGAGGAGGGGGTGGTGTTTGTGCATGGGCTTGGGATTGGCCTCACGCCTTACCTCGGGTTTATCGGCATGATGAAGAGAACCTACCCTAATAAGGTTAGTACCCTAATGAGGATGAGGTCAAGGGGGTGGTGTTATTTCATGGGTTTGGCATTGGCCTCACTTCTTTGCCCATTTTCAGATCTGACGTCCTTTCATCCATGTATTGCCCTTCCCTTCTCTCCTCGTTCTCCCCCTCCATTCACCCTTCCTCCTCCCTTTCAATCGCCCTTCCCCTCATCTCTGCAGAAATTCATTGTGGCAGAAATGCCGCATCTCGCCTTCCGCCTCTCCTCCGCATCTCCTTCACCCCCTATGCCCTCAGTCTTTCTCCTTCGTTCCCCCCCCCCCTCCCCCCCTTTTTCCGCTTCTCTGCAGAAATTCATTGTGGCAGAAATGCCGCATCTCGCCTTCCGCCTCTCCTCCGCCTCACCAACCATTGACGACATCGTGAGTTCTTAAATGTGCCTTGTGCTGTCTGCTTGTAAGTTGCGCCTTGTGCACGCCTTGCAAGAGATTTCAGTCAATATATGCCTCTTATTCATTTCAATTGCTTCGATGTACAGGTGGCGGGGCTAGCAAGGGGCTCTTCAGATGCAGGACCTCAAGATAGGCACATTCAGTTTGCCTTCTCTCACTCTCTGTTTCCTCTTCCCTTTACTTCCCCTCCCATCACCCCTCAATCGCTTCGATGCACAGGTGGCAGGGCTAGTAGAGGCGCTTCAGACACAGGGACTCAAGAGAGGGAAACGTGTGTCTGCCTTATCTCACTACGTGTGTCTGCCTTATCTCACTACGTGTGTCTGCCTTATCTCACTTTTTCCTCACTCTCTCCCCGCCCTCCATTCCGCCGCACCCTCTGCTCGTGCTTTCTTCACAGGTGGCAGGGCTGGCAGAGGCTCTTCAGACACAGGGACTCAAGAGAGCGACGTTTGTTGGCCACTCCTACGGCACATTTGTGCTCGCACAGGTGATTATAACGAGCGGGGAGGGGAGCAGGTGATTGTAATGAGTGACAAGAAGGTTTCTTGAGAGTGGTAGTCACCAGAATCACGAGAATTCTAGAGTGAGTCAAGTATAGCGCAATATGTCAATCCTCATGAGCACAGTAACAGCTCTAGGCCTTTAGGACCCTGTCTGCTTGCATTTCCTCCTGCTGCTTCCTGTCCCCTTATTCCTCCCCTTCCACTCCCCACATCCTGCAATCCAACCCCTCACTTCTTACAGTATGTGTGCAAGCATTTCAGCACAGTGGCAGCGCCGGGCCTCATGGACCCTGTCTGCTTCTTTTCCTCACGTTGCTTACTCACTACTTATCTCTCTCCCCATTCCCCCCCCTCTCCATCTTCTCTCCCTGCAGTATGTGCGCAAGCATTTCAGCACAGTTGCAGCGCTGGGACTCATGGACCCTGTCTGCTTCCTCCTCTGCATCCCCAAGACGCTGCTCAATATGATTTATAAGTAAGCGTCGAATACTACAATGTGAATATATTTCATATCTCGTGTGCAAGGAATATATTTCAGACTGCCCTCCTATTACCGTGTGCCTCGCTCCTGTGGCCTACATTGCTCGCAGCTCCGGCTTCTTATACTCCTTCTCCCTACGTGTCCTCCCGCCTTGGCGTGTGTGTCTATTGCTGCTCCCAGGACCCCCGAGAACGGCTTGAGATGGTTTTTCTGCGCCAGAGAACTGCAGGTGGTTTGGAGCACTGATATCATTCTCCCTCTTTGCCATTCTCCATCCCTGCCTATCCTCTCTCGTTTCTCCCAGGACCCCCGAGAACATAATGGACGGCCTGAGATGGTTCTTCTGTGCCAGGGAGCTGCAGGTGGCTAGCGGCTCTGTCTATCCGTCCTCTCATGCTCCTTCCCTGCCCCTCTCCGCGACTATCACTGGTGTTCCTTGTTGCGTGCAGGACCCCCGAGAACATAATGGACGGCCTGAGATGGTTCTTCTGCGCCAGAGAGCTGCAGGTGGCTCGATCGCTCTCCCGCAACTTCGACTGGTGAGACTGCCAGCATCGAATTTCCGCTATGTACATTCCGATTCGGTGTTCCTTATTCTCCTCCCTTCCCCCCCTTCCCTCTCTCACCTTTTGGAGGGTGTGCTGCATCCTCTTGCCTTCCCATCCCCTCCCCTCCGATCTCACCAAGGGTGGATTGATTTATTTCCTGCAAACCTTTTCAGGGAGTGCATGCTTGCTGTTTTGACACATAGCAAAACTCTAAGTTCCCTTCCCGCTTCTTCCCCCCACCTTCTGCCACCCTTCTCTCCTCCCTGTTCTCCCCAACCCCCCTCGTGCAGGCATGCGTGCATGCTGTGGCCTGAGGAGATGCCACGTCAGCAGTCAGTGGTGCTGATGGGCGGCCAGGATCAAATCGTGCCGTCCAACCACATCAGGACGTACGTTCCCTCATGCAGTCTATAATCACATGTTCTGCTACCGCATTAGTCACCTCTATAGAAGCAGACTCGCCAAGAGCTAATCCGAGTTTGGCATCTTTGAGCAGGATGCATTCTGGTCACTGCCTACCCTAGCACTTCGTTATAAGCATAGTCATTCTTGCATTTAGTCACAGCTGCCCCCTCTTTCCCTCCATGCATTCACCTGCTGCAGGATGCTGACAGAGAAGGGCTCTTGTCTTTCCCTGACCTTCCCTGTTCTTTCTGTCTCTACATACCTCCCCTCCCCTTGCCCACTGCAGGATGCTCACAGAGAAGGGTGTAGAGTTTATCTACAACGAGACGTACCAACACGCTCAAGTGCTGTTCAGGTACACCTTTGTTCGATTACTGGGCTACACAAGTTAAATGCTGTTTTGTTTGTCATTGTTCCCTCTCGTGCCCCTTGTTTTTCTTTCCAGTATATTTCCCTTTGTAGCAGCCTTTCACACACATAATGATTGTTTGCCTTGATTGATCATTCCTCTTTAATCAATCCCCTTCTCCTTCCCTCATAATTACAGCGACACCAAGCAACGGGAGTTCTTGACACGACTCATAGCTGCCCGAGCCACAGCTGACCAATAAAATCACTTGAGGAAAATTACGGGCAGCGTTTTTTCTTGTGTCTCTGCCCGGCCAACCGGGCAGGGTGACCATTACACTGGATGGCTAATCAGTTGGTGAGTGCTGCATCGACAACAGCAAAAGAGTCTGATTATTAGCAGCAGTTGGGGAAGCTTCAAGGTTAGGTCATGGGGGTTAGCTTTTGCCCTCCGCTTAGGAGCTTTAGGTGCATAGTAGGTTAGGTGATTATTTAGGCAATTAGAGGGATGTGTCGTCCCTCTTGCAATTAGGTAGCTGCTCTTTTGTGCAACAAATGTCGAAGTGCTTGGAAATAAAAAGATTCATGAAGGCGCATGAGAAACATAGCTCAGAAGAGGGCTGAACCAATGTGCCTTTTGCATTTTTTGGCCGACATTGAACCATAGGACTAACGATCACACTAACGCGAACAAGCAGCCTCGATGCATTAGGGTTTGATTCCAAATAGTCTCATCACTGCTATCCTACGGTACTATTTTCCTTGCTTCAACGCTCCTGCAGTAACTGGCTCGTAGTCATCGTCGTCTTCCCACGCGGCCCGCGTACTAGTAGCATTCGTAGTAGCATGAGTGGTAGCACTCCCGGGCTTCTTATTTTCGTGTTGACTTTTCTTTGTAGGCAACCCTGTAAGGTACTCGCACACTCTGCGCATTAAGCTTCCGCCAACCGTTTTCCCGCCAGATTTCGGCGCTTTAGGTTGCGAGCCGTCCGATTTCACGTCGCCGCTAGCCCGCCTCAAGAAGATGGTTTTTCCGCTCCGTTCGCCAACCAGCCGGCCCAGCTCCTGAGTTCGCACGCTCGCGAAAGTCAAACTCCTTCGCACGCTGACGTCCTTTGAGTCGCCCGCTCGTTCGCGACGACCGCGATCGTCGACAGACGACGTCGCATTGCTTGTAGAGGAGGAGGAGGGTGGCGTGGTGACTGTAGCACGGGCTTCAGCTTCTGATGCACCCCCCCTCGATATTGTCATAGTAGCATCATCAGGCGTTACTACTGTCCCACCAGCAGCATTGTCTGACACAATAAGGCCAGCCACAAGGCGTCGGCGAAGAAAGATAAAGTGGTTACTCCGTTTGGACCGTAGCGAACCTTCACGAATAGTCGTCTTGCTGGCGAAAGATAATTTTGAATCCGTCGCCGTCGCCGCCACGTGCGAAGGGCCCCTTTGAGAACCGAGGCCCGGGATAATCCACACCAATAGCAGCAGCAACACCCCCGGGCGGAACGTTCCAACAATCCCTCTTCGAATTGCTGACAGTGCCATTGAGACTGTAAAATCCTTTCTAAGAATGTTTTTGCTTCGAAATGAGATTCGCTTAGGTAGGGCTCGGTTATCGAAATTCTAGAGTGGGGATTTGGGAAGATGGTCGGCTGAATACGGCTCTGGAAGTAACGCTCGTGTTTATGTCTTCTTCTATAAACGCAGTCGCAATACTGATGAAAACACCGAACGAAAAGCTTTCTTGCGTTTGCCGTATCGCCTTGTGAAACGGCTGAACTCAGAAGGTCAGTTTGGTTAGCGGTTGCAAGAGTCCCGAGGCGGCTCGACTAAGTGCGAAGATCAAAGGGGATGTCATGACGCGATGAACGTATTGTACGGGAAGATAGGCACGGTAGCGTGATATGAGTTCAGGAATCAACTGAGGGAAGTTGCAGGAAGAATATCGCGACGGCAAAACGTGATTGAGTTGGTTGGCTGCGATGGGAGGACGTCAATTTGCATTCGTTTGAATATTAGTCGAGTTGTTCTTCGAAGCAGGGAGTAATGGAGTCGCGTTCCTGAACATGGCGGACGAGAAAGGAGATCAAGGCCTTGGACATTTGGAGGAAGGGACTCGCTATTTGGGAGGGATAACGAACGACGCTGTGCTATAATCGAGGCGCGAAGCTCGAGTCGCGCTTAGTTTATGAACTGGCGTCAACTTGCTTGGGTTGCACGTTTTACTTCACGACAAGCCGAAGTGTTGGACCCACACTCCACAACAAGCGCATCTTTCTCAGCCGTCGATTCCAAGAGCTTTGCAGGATCTGACAGTCCTCAGTGTGTGTTACATGGTGGCTAAGGTTCTGGCAAGCTTTCAAGAGCTCAAGGGGTGTGTGAGATAGGGCCCTGCCCGATGGCAAGCTTGACGAAGAAACAAGGCGAAACATGTGTATGGATGCGACCTGGCTGTTCGTCATTCTTCGTGCACAGATGGCCCGCCTTGGCGAAACGTGTTTCTTTGCTTTCAAACGCTCTTTCTAGCGAGCTGTTGGAATGCGGTGTATTTATCACAATCCATGATCAAACTGCTTTTGGTGGTTCGCCTTCCGTCCCTTCCCACCTCGAAGGGTTTCACTCACTGGTCTTGGGGTTTTCGTTCTCCCTCGTCCCCACAATCCGCATTTGGGGTTTCGCTCTTCGTCCCCTCGCTCCTCCTCATCAAACCCTAAAACGGCAGCTTGGGGGTTCCTTTTCAGGCATTCGCGTACAATATCCCTTCGCACTCGGCTTTCTGGTGGGATAGGTAGGAGGAAATCGGGGTTTCGCGTCTGACCTTATTCCCTGTCAGACCCCCACCAAATTCGTCACCTCCCTAGATTTTTCAGGCGACGCGGGAACTTCCCTGCGAAAGCGTCAGACTGAAGCCTTTTTAATCAGGTAATGTCCATCCGGACGATGCCAATTCTTCCCAGTCGAGCTAGCAGAAGGCCCGTCGAGTTACTTCTTTTTGGGACTAGTAGTTATCGAACTAGAAGTTGTTGGTCATTATCTGGCAAAGGAAATCCGCCAGCTATGGAATCCACCGATGCTAACCCTAATGCCGTGTCAGATGCTACGGTTCTCGTTTCCAGGTCCTGTAGATTGCTTATCGCGGAAGTTTATAACGGTCCTGTTGCTGACGTGGACAATGCCTGTCGTTTCAGGTCCACTGTAGCAGAGATTCGTCGCTATGGACCCCTCAGAGCTCCCGTCGCCGTACGTTCTGCCAGGTGGCACGGCTGGATTCGACGACGCGGATGGACGCTCAGGATTCCCTGGCGCCGTCCCGATGTATCCTCCGCCGCCACATCATCTGTCGTATCACCACCCAGTTCCGTTGATTGAGGCCGATCGGTACGCCGTGAATTACGGCGTGCATCCCGCCTCGCATTCCGCCGCGCATCACGGCGTGAATCACTCCTTAGTCGTGAATGTGGATGATGATGAGGAGGACGAGGAGGAGGAAGAAGCGGCTCGACGTCACGATGCTGACGTGGCAGAGGGAGCAGAAGCGCAGATCGCGGATTCGTCAAGATATGAAATCCCTCAAAACGCGCTATCGCCTTTCGATGCGTCTCAACTATCTCCGTACGGTTTCAGTTCGGAGTACGGTTCGCACGGCACGAGTGATCGGCATTCCAGGCCAATGACGGGGATGCATCATCATGCACACTTTCTTTACCCACACCCTCCTTATATGCACATTCCCTTTCACGCACATCCCGGTGCTGGTTCCTCGGGCCCCATGCCTCCTCCCCCTCCGCATGAAGTCTCCAGTATGAATTTCGCATACCATCCTTCGTCGCGATCGCTGGTTACAAGTTACAATGCGGGTTACCAGGCGCATGTGATGCATCCTGGACCGTTGGATCCAGCCATGGGGATTCATCACCACCGCACGATGGACCATCATGAATCCATGGAGCATCATGAATCCATGGAGCATCATGGGTCTATGGAGCATGTGTCTGGATCGTATGGGGAGATTAGCATGGGTCATCACCATCATCACCATCATCACCATCATCACCACCACCACCATCACCATACTTCAGTTGGGGATACGATGGGGCTAGAACCATGGCCGCCGCGCTTACCGCCGCAAATGGCGCTGCAGCTTCCGCCGCCGTTAGCGCCGCAGTTGATACTAGAATCCGAGCAGGAGTGTCGCCGCGATGCTGACGTGGCGTTGGGGCAGCCGAGGGATCCTGTTGTGCTGGCAGATGGGGGGACAGACGCTGACGTGGTGGTTGACGCAGTGGGGTATGACTATATCGAGGATGGGCATCAAGGGTTGGATCAGGGACTCGTTGTAAGTCAGAGCGTGCTGACAGTTGAGGATGCGGAAGGATTGAAACGGCTGGAAGGGCAAGAAGAGAGACAGATTGATCTGGTAGAGGGCGCTGCTCCAGCGCAGGAGCAGGCGCAATCTCAGGTGCAGGTGCTAGCTCTGGCGCAGGAGCAGGCGCAGGAGCAGGCACAGTTGCAGGCGCAGGTGCAAGTTCAGGTGCAGCATTCGGAAGAACGCATTTCGCAGGTGCAAGGTGAGGTGGTTGTATCTGAATGTGCCCATAAGCATATGCAAGGGCTGGAGCAGGACTTGTACGATACTGAGCTTATAACGGATCATGTGTCTAGGCTTGTAGCGGAGCATGCACTAGTTGAGCAGGGGGAGGGGGAGGGGGAGGGGGAGGGGGAGGGGGAGGGACGGAAGGAGCAGGCGCCTGGGCAAGGAGAGGAGGTCGAGCTAGGACAGGTCGAAGGGGAGGGGCAGGGGGAGGGGAGGGGTGAGGCAGAAGAGGACGCGGACAGGGGAAAGGGAATGGATGGACAAGAGAGAAAGGAAGGAGGAGGGGAAATGGAGGCGGGAGGGGAAACGGAGGGCGAAGGGGGAATGGAGGGCGGAGGGGGAATGGAGGGGGAAGGGGGAATGGAGGGGGGAGAGGGGCCGGATATCGAATTGGAGCTTGTTATGGGGGATGCTGAGCTGGACGATGCAGAGATATTTGTGGAACAGCTGGCTGCTGAGGTGGCGGATGTCCGCGCACCAGACGGCCACGTGGCAGGAGCTCACTGGCAAGGCTTGCGTGGGGATCTATCCGCTCCAGCAGCTGCTTTATTGGCAGCATCAGCACCAGCACCAGCAGTAGCAGCAACTGCAGAAGCAGCAGCAACGCAGATATCACCTGCAGTAAGGAAGGTGGTGGTTGAAGCAGCACCAGGGCAGGCAGCAGCAGCAGCAGCGGCAGTTGCAACAGAAGCATCGGGAGTTTTAGTAGCTCGAGAAGTAGCAATGGGAGAGCTAGATCTGCCAGTAATAGACACGTCTTCAGCGGACGTGCAAGCAGCAGCCGGGCAGGCAGCGTCGGAAGCAGCAGCAAAAGCAGCGGCAGCATCAGCAGCTGTAATATCTGGAGCAGCAGCAGCAGGAGAAGTAGATGTGCCTGAAATAGTTTTTCCTTCGCCGGACGTGCAAACAGCATGCTTGCCTGCAGGGGATGTGACAATAACAGGTGTGCCAGTAACAGGCAGGGCTTTAGAGGAGGTGCAAGCAGCTGCTGCTGGTAGAGGTGACGAACGATTGGAACCACAAAGGGAGATGATTGTTACTGCTGCACCTGCGATTACTGCTGCTCCTACTCTTTCTCCTGCTGCTGCTGCTGCTGCTGTTGCCGTCCCTGCCGCCGCCGCTGTTTCTGCTACCTCAGTCGCTGCTGCTGCTGCTGCTGCTGCCGTTGTGACCACCCCTGCTGATGCTGTTGTTCCTGCTACTGTGGGACGTGTGGCAGTGAGAGCAGGCGGTGCAGGGGAGGCTGTTGCTACCCCTATTGCTGCTGCTATTGCTGCTATACCTATTGTTGGAGCTATTGGTGCTACCAGGGGAACTGTGCCAGTGGAAGCAGACTGTGAAAGGGAAGGTGTGGGTAGCATAGTGGCACCAGGAGCAGAGGCAGAGGCCTCTGTAGCTGCGTCAGAGGCAGTTCTCAAGCCAAGAGCAGCCTCAGCAGAAGCATGGGCATCAGCAGCAACAGCAACAGCAGCAGGAGACGCGGCTGGCACTAGTTTACCTGCAGTGGAAACAGGTGGGGCAGGGAAGGTGGTTTCTGGCAGAGTGGCAGCAGCAGAAGCAGAAGCAGAAGCAGAAGCAGAGGCGGCTGTAGCTGCGTCAGAGGGGGTTTCCACATCAAGATCAGCAGCAGTAACAACAGCAGCACCGCCAAGAGCAGCAGGCGCTGGTGGTGCAGATTTGCTGGGAGTGGAAGCAGGCAGTACTGATTCAGCAGCTGTAGCTGCAGCAGCGGCAGCAACTGTAGCAGAGCGTGCGGTAGTTACGAGTATGGGACGTGCTGAAGCAGCAGCAACGCCAGCAGCAGCAGAGGCAGTGCAGGCAGCAGCCGTAGAAGCGAGAACATCGCCAGCAGCGGTAAGTACGGCAGGGGCAGCAGCAGCAGCAGCAGGGGCTGTAGCAGAACGTGCAGCTTGTAAAAGTGCAGTACCTGCTGCAGCGGCAACACCAGCAGCAACAGTTGCACTCCAACCAGCATCAGTAGGAGCGAGGGTGCTTGCGTCAGCACCAGGTATAGCAGTGGCGGCAGCAGCAGGGACCGTAGCAGGGTGTGCAGAAGGTGCGAGTATGAGACCTGCTGTAGTGGCAACAACAGCAGCACCAGGGACAGCAACTGTAGCTGCACCAGCAGCAGCAGCAGCAGCTGTATCAAAGCGCGCAGTAAGTGCAAGTATAGGACCTGTCGTAATGGCAACGCCAGCAGCACAAGGGACAGAAGCTGTCGGTGCAGCAGCAGAGACTGTAGCAGAGTGTGCAGTAAGTGAGCCGAGTACAGTACCTGCTGTAGTGGCGACACCAGCAGCACCAGGGGCAGCAGCAGCTACATCGACTGTAGCAAAGTGTGCAGTAAGTGCGGATACAGCACCTGTCTTGGGGGCAAAACCAGGAGCACCATTCGTAACGCCTTTAGAACCAGCAGAAGGTGGAGCATCACCAGTACCAGGGGCGGCAGGGGCGGCAGGGACGGCAGGGACGGCAGGGACGGCAGGGACGGCAGGGACGGCAGGGACGGCAGGAGCGACAGGGGCGGCAGAAGGGGCAGCTGGAGAAGGTCACGCAGCAGAAGTAGTAGCAGCAGCAGCAGCAACAGTGCGAGAGCTAGTAGCGCCCATGGCAGTTTTAACCAGTGCAAGCGCGGAAAGAGCAGGGGTGGAGAGACCGGGAGTATCTGAACCAGCCAGAGCAGCAGCGGTTGGGGCGGCAACGGCAACAGTAGCTGGACCAGCAGCAGTTGGGACAGCAGCAGCAAACGGACGTGGAGTAGGAGGACCAGCTAGAGGGAAATCCGTACAAGGAAGGTTTCCTGCAGCTGCAGTGGCTAGCGAAGACCCAGTACCTAGGGCAGCATCACCACCAATGCTTGCTGCCGCTACAGTGTCGAGAACAGCTTCTAGTGCACCTGGAGCAGTTTCAACTAAAGCATGGCCAGTTTCAACTGCCGCCAGAACAGTTTCTACTGCAGCAGTAACTGTTCCTGGGAGCAAGATGACACCTGAGGAGCTGGAAATTGACATGAGGGATTTCCTGAGCAACAGAGCCAGGTGGGGCCAGGTGGAGAAGGGAGGCGCGTCCATTGCCCACCTGAGAATCTACCTGAGGGGACTGCGACGAGAAGGCGACCCGAAACTAGAGGTAAGGAGAGAGTTTCTTTCTACAAGCCACATGGAAACTACCTGAAGTAGCGACTGAATTCTCTTAGGTTTTCCAGCATCATGGCTCCAAAAACAGAGGTATGACAGAGAGATAGCTTCCACACAGCTGCTTTTACCACACTCCACCATTCTCCACCATCGTTCTCACAGCTCCTGCAGGACATGTTTCTCTCGCACGGACTCACCCTGGAAGACATCAAGCTCGAGATGCTCTCGGTGGTGCAGCTCTTTGTCACCCTCGTCAGCCCCTTTGTTCTCCGCCCCTATCCACCCCTCTCCACCGCACCACACTCACAGCAACTGCAGGACATGTTTCTCTCGCACGGACTAACTCTCGAAGACATCAAGCTCGAGATGCTCTCAGTCGTACAACTCTTTGGCACCCTCGTCAGCCCCCTCTCGCCTTCCCCTCCATCCATGCTCTCCCTTCCTCTCTCCACCACTCTCACAGCAACTGCAGGACATGTTTCTTTCCCACGGACTAACTCTCGAAGACATCAAGCTCGAGATGCTCTCAGTGGTGCAGCTGTTTGCTACCTTAGTCAGCCCCGTTCGAACCGGAGCAAAGAACAAGCCAAAGCTCCTCACCATCATAGCAACCTCCGAGCCTTGGAACAGACCTCACGCTATGGAGAAGCGCCTCGTTGCTGCGGCTGTCACCGGGCCTGTCCCGGGCCTGCCGCCGGAGCTGGCCGCCGCGGCTGCGGCACAGGTTCGGGTGGGGGAGGACGAGGTTCGGCGGTATGGAGGGATGCTGGAGCGGTTTTTGGAGAGTCCGAGGGAGTGGAATCTGGTGGATCATCGGGGGGAGTTTCAGTTCAATGCTATCTTTGCGTTCCTGCGCAAGACTCATGTGTGCGAGCCGCTGCTGCTGCAGGTGAGAGTGCAGTGGGAATGCAGGGTGCTGCTAGGCTTTTTATTTATGTGTTTGAGCTTTTTGGAGAGTTCGAGGGGTGTGGAATCTGGTGTATCACCAGGGGGGGTTTCAGTTCAATGCTGTCTTTGCGTTCCTGCGCAAGGCTCATGTGTGCGAGCCACTGCTGCTGCAGGTGAGACTGCATTGCGAGGTTAAGGGTCGGGGGCTTAGGTGCCAGGGATGTCGGACTTTCTTTTGAGGATTCTCAAAAAGAACCTCCAACATGCATTGCGAAATTTAGGGGTGGGGGTTTAGGTGCCGGGGTATAGGTGCCGGGGTATAGGTGCCGGGGTATAGGTGCCGGGGTATAGGTGCCAGGGTATAGGTGCCGGGGTTTAGGTGCCGGGGTTTAGGTGCCGGGGTATAGGTGCCGGGGTTTAGGTGCCGGGGTTTAGGTGCCGGGGTTTAGGTGCCGGGGTATAGGTGCCGGGGTTTAGGTGCCGGGGTTTAGGTGTCAGGGTTTCGGGTCTGATGGGTCACTGGGGGAAGTTTCAGCTCCCTCCCCCTCCCACCACCTGTCCCCCCAACCCACAGCACTACCAGGCTCTCTTCTTTGCCCATGCTCTTACTCTTCATGACCTGCGGGCGTGCAAGAAGTGGGTGCTCATGCTGCTCGCTCTGCTGCTGGGCTTCTTGGGTCGCTTGGACGAGCTCAACAAGAAGGACCTGGTTCAGGCTATAGCGTCCACAGATGCTTGGAAGGAGTACGAGAAGGGAGGTGTTGGGAAGGAGTATGAGAAGGGGAGGACTTTGGAGAGATGCGAGGGCAGCAGGGTTGCAGGGGGTGGAAGGGGGGTAGGAGGGACTGCAGGGGAGGGAAGGGTGGTTTGGGCGGGGTCAGGGACAGGGGCAGAAGCAGTAGCAGGGGCAGGTGAAGGGACTGGTGCAGTAGGAGCAGGAGCAGCACGAGGGTCAGTGGGAACAGCAGCAGGAAGAGCAGTAGGAACAGCAGCAGGAGACGCAGGAGGGGCAGGAGGAGGAGCAGTAGCAGCAGGTGCAGCAGGAGGAGTAGGAGGAGCAGCGGGAAGCACACATGCGTCTACCCCTGCTGCTGCTGATGCGGCTGCTCCTTCTTCATCTTCTCCTCCTCTTGCTCCTCCTTATCCTACCACTGCCGCTCCACCTCCCCATAGGCCTGTCACTAATGGCACCACCAATCATAATCTTTTCACTCATGCTAATAATAGCACCACTCCTGCTATTATGAGCAGTATTGCCAACAATGCCAATAATAGCAATGATGCCGATAATGGCAATCACTCCAGGAAAAGGTCTGCTCCAGGGAGGATTCGGCCAATCAAATGCGCCCGTCTGCTGCCGACCTCCCGCCAGGACCGGTCGGCGTTCCTCCTCCACGTCCGGCAGGCGGGGGATGACGAGCTGGACGGAGTGCTTTTGCAGTTTCTGGAGGACCCGAAGCACTGGGCGTGTGCGCTGAAAGGGGGCGTGGTTGTAACGAGGCTGGGGAAGTTTATAAGGGAGATGGCGGAAAACAACCCAGCGATGCTGGAGGTGAGTGAGTGTGTTTCATGCTCTTCTATTCTCCAGTGTACTTCCCTACACTGAACTTTTGTTCTCCTCATAGTATACATGTTAATACTTTTTTTTGAAATGTTTTTTTGGAACTGCTTTCCCTCATCCCTCCCCTCTCCCTTTCTTAAGGGTTTTCCCATTCACTTTTAAGCTCTCCTGTTTCTTGCCCTGGCTTCCTTCTTCCAGCCCTACCAGCAGGCGTTCTTTGCTCACGGCATTGGAATGAACGAGCTGCGCCGGGAGAAGCGTACGGCGCTGGAGCTGTTTGCATACCTCATGGGCTTCACAGGTAGCGTGGGAAACGGTATGCCAGTATGGTTATCTGGTAACCCGGTAACATGGATTTCACACTTCTGATCTGGAGGCGGGAGAAGCAGACGGCATTGGAGCTGTTTGTGTACCTCATGGGGGTCAAAATATTGTGCATGGGTATGCTAACATGGTAACGTCGTAAGACTTGCTTTGTTTATTACGACAGACAAGTACACCGCCGGGGCTGTTTGCACACGTCACGGAAGTCTCAGGCTGTTCAAAGCTTAGCATCTTGCAGTAGGAATTGCGTTTTGAGGTGCTGGAGCTGATTTTTTAGTGGACTCAAGAAGCTGGTTGCTTTTGAGTGAGCTCAGAAAGCGATTCCCTATGTTGCCCCCCTTCTGTGTTACCTCCCCCTTGCTCCACCCCAGGTAACATGAGGGCATGGAATAAGCACCGGCTTCTAAAGATCATATCAGACATGCCAGCCCTTGTGTTTTCCTTCTACATTACAATCCCAACCCCGTTCCCCTTTTCCCCTTCCTCCCCCACGCCACCCCAGGCAACATGAGGGCATGGAAGAAGCACCGGCTTTTAAAGATCATATCTGACATGCCAGCCTGGCAGATTCATGCGACGCGACTGGACGAGATGGGCTTTGGGGGAGGTGTGGGGAAGAGGGGGTGGGGGGGAATGAGGGGTGCTGGTGGGGAGGGTAGGGGCGAAGGGGCAGAGGATGAGGAAGGAGAGGAGCAAGGGGAGGAGGAGGAAGGAGAGGAGGGAGGGGAAGAGGAGGTGACTGAGGGAGATGAAGAGAGTCTGAAGGAAGAGAGAAAGGGGCAGGCTCCAGCAGGTGCAGTGCACTTTGCAGCATCTGTAGCAGGAATAGAAGAAGTAGCTTCTCTAGGGGGAGTGGCAGGAGGAGTAGAAAGGGTTGCAGCTATAGCAGCAGTAGCTTCTGTAGCAGCTGTGTTGGAGAATGGAGAAGCAACAGTGGGAGAACTATCAGCAGCAGGAGAAGTTTTACCAGTTGTAGCCGAAATTGGAGAGTCACAGGCACCTGTAGCATCAGCTGTAGCACCGTTTGTAGCAGAAGAAGCAGGAGCAGAAGAAGCAGGAGCAGCAGCAGCAACTGGTGGTTTTGAGGCGGCTGAGAAAGCACCTGTAGCATCAGTTGTAGCACCGTTTGTAGGTAGCAGCAGGAGCAGCAGCAGCAGCAGTAGCAGCAGCAGTAGCAGCAGCAAGTTCTGGTTGTGAGTCAGCTGAGAAAGCACCTGCAGCTGCAGCTGTAGCAGCACCTGTAGCAGCACCTGTAGCTGTAGCAGGGCTTGGTGGGGGCAGCAAGGGCAAAGGCCGGCGGTGGGAGTGGGTCGATGGGTGGGGAGAAGAGTACAGGAGAATCGCGGAAAGAAATGCAGGAGCCTTTTCTCTGGTTCCTTTGGACAATGTAGGCTGGGCGTCGAGTTACGCGCTGAGCTGTTCCCGTTGCCTGCCTATTGCTGGCCTGGTGCAGATGCAGAGAGGGGAGGAGCAGAGAGGGGAGGAGCAGAGAGGGGAGGAGCAGAGGAAGGGTGATCTTGGGAACGAGGCTTTGGAGATGGGGGAGAATGATGGGGCGACGGTGGGCATTGGGAGTGAGAAGTGGGGGGAGAAGGGTGAGGAGATGGAGGTGAATGGGGATGAGAGGAAAGGGAATGGGAAGAAAGGGGAGGAGAAGGGGGAGGAAAAGCGGGAGGAAATGGGGGAGAAGGGGGAAGGGAATGAGGATCACACCACTATGACGCCCTGTGCTGTGGTCAAATCAGCAGGCCCACGTGGCATTACATCAGATGAGCTGCTGTTGCCCTCGCTAGCCCCAAAACACGCATCAGTAGCACCGGCAGCAGCACCAGCAGCAGCACCAGCAGCAGCAGCGGCAGCATCAGCAGCATCATCAACTGCAGCAGCGGCGCCAGCAGCAGCGACATCAGTTGCGGCTCGATTGGAAGCAGCAGCATCAGCACCACAGGATACAGCACCAGATGCTGTTATTTCAAAAGCAGAAGCACCAAACGTTTCAGCTGGAAAGGCTTCAGTTCCAGAAGCACTGGATGTGCCTAGCGGTTCTGAGGCTGTTACAAGCGGTGATGTGGGGTTGGCAGGGGCTGCCCTGGATTTTCCCAGTGCTGTGGGGTTGGCAGGGGTTTCAGAAGAAAGCGGTCTGAATGGTTTGGTCAGGAAAGCAGCAAGTGTCGGGGAGAGAGAGGAGGAAAAGCAGGGAGGGGAGGAGGGGGAAGGGAGGGAGGGAGTGGAGAAAGGGGAAGGAGGGGAGAGAGGGGATGGGGTGGAAAGGGGAGTGGGAGGGGATGGAAGTCCGGGTGCGTCACAGAGTAAGTTAAAGCTACAGGTCACTCCTGTAGCGGAGGGAGAATGTAGTGCGGGTCTGACTGGGGCAGGTGCGACTTGGGCAGGTGTGACTGGGGCGGGTGTGACTGGAGTGGGTGTGACTGGAGTGGGTGTGACTGGAGTGGGTGTGACTGGAGTGGGTGTGACTGGAGTGGGTGTGACTGGAGTGGGTGTGACTGGAGTGGGTGTGACTGGAGTGGGTGTGACTGGAGTGGGTGTGACTGGAGTGGGTGTGACTGGAGTGGGTGTGACTGGAGTGGGTGTGACTGGAGCTCGTGTGACTGGAGTGGGTGGGACTGGGGCAGGTATGGCCAACGAACCAGCAGTCACAGCAGCATTAGCAGCAGCATCAACACAACCAGCAGCAGCTGCACCAGACGCAATGGCAACACCAGCACCAGAAGCAGCAGCACCAGCAGCAGCAGCACCACCACCACCACCACCACCAGCACCACCACCACCAGCAGCACCAGCAGCACCAGCAGCACCAGCAGCAGCACCACCACCACCAGCAGCACCAGCAGCACCAGCAGCACCAGCAGCACCAACGCCAGCAGCACCAGCACCAGAAACAGCAGCACTGGCACCAGCTGCACTCGCAATTCCGCCGCAGCAGCAGCTGAATGCACCGAAGCCAGTATCATTCGCAATTCCGCCGCAGCAGCAGCTGAATGCACCGAAGCCATTATCATTCGCAATTCCGCCGCAGCAGCAGCTGAATGCACCGAAGCCAGTATCATTCGCAATTCCGCCGCAGCAGCAGCTGAATGCACCGAAGCCAGTATCATTCCAGGAGCTTATCTTGGCTGATGGCGCTGTGGAGGAGGAAGAGGGGACGCTGGGATGTCTCTGGGAGGAGACTCGGGAGGGGCAAGGACAGGATGTAGATAATGACACAGAGTGCAGGGGAGACGAGGGGGACAACAGAGCAAAATCAGCTGCACCAGCAGCAGCACCACCAGCAAAATCAGCAGCAGCAGCAGCGCTACCAGCAGCAGTGACAGGAGAGGATGAGGAGGAGGCGGGAGAAGTGGCAAGTCTGTTCCTGGCGTTCGTGAGGGATCCAGAGGAGTGGGCGCTGGGAGACGCTCAGAGCCGTGCCAAGGTGCCCCAGTTCTTCCGCTACCTGCGGCACCTGCAGAGAATCGGCTCGCCCCTGCTCAAGGTGAGTGAGGTGCCCGCTGGTTGTTGACGGTTTAGAGTGGTTGGGTGGGGTTCTCGGTTCTGTTCCTCGCGTTTGTGAGGGATCCAGAGGAGTGGGCGCTAGGGGATGCCCAGAGTCGAGCCAAGGTGCCCCAGTTCTTCCGATACCTGCGGCACCTGCAGAGAATCGGCTCGCCCCTGCTCAAGGTGAGTGGGGTGTGGGGTGTGGTGATTGTTCTGTGTTGTGTTGTGTGCTGTGGGTGCTGGCGGATGCACAGAGCCGTGCCAAGGTGCCGCAATTCTTCCGATACCTCCGGCACTTGCAGCGAATAGGCTCGCCGCTGCTCAAGGTGGGTGCGATGTTTGTGTGCAGATGTGTTGTGTGTTATGCACGGTGCGCTGGGGGACATTCACAGCCGTGCCAAGGTGCCGCAATTCTTCCGCTACCTGCGGCACCTGCAGAGAATCGGCTCTCCCCTGCTCAAGGTGAGTGTGAGGTTGGGTGGGGTTCCTTCCAGGTGAGTGGGGTGCGCGTCAGGAGTGGGCGCTGAGGAAGGAGCAGAGCCGTGCCAAGGTGCCGCAATGCTTCCACTACCTGCGGCACTTGCAGAGTATAGGCTCTCCCCTGCTCAAGGTGAGTGTGCTATGTGTGTGTTATGAGGTTGTTTGTTGTGTGGGCGCTGGGGAATGCCCAGAGCTGTGCCAAGGTGCCTCGCCTTCTTTCAATACTTTAGGTACCTACACGGCCGTAACCCCAACTTCCCCTTTGCTCGCTTTTCCTCTCCCTTCCTTCTCCTTCCCCCCCCCCCCGTCCTCTCCCTCCTCTCAGCCGGGAGCAATGGAAAAGCAACCGCGGATGCTCTATGCCGCTCTCTTTGTAATCGCAACCATCCAAACCCCCTTTTCCCCCCCATTCCTCTCCCCGCCTCCCCAACCCCTCCTCCCACCTGCAGGCGTATCGGGAGATCTTCCTGTCGCACAGCCTTTCCTCCTCTCAGCTCCTGACAGAGTAGAAGCAAGCGCTAATGCTCTTTGCTGCTCTCTTTGGGATTCCAACCGTCCAAACCCCCCTTCCTCCCTCTCTCTCCCCTTCCCCGCTGCAGGCGTATCGTGAAATCTTCCTCTCCCACGGCCTCTCCTCCTCGCAGCTCCTGGCCATCAAGAAGCAAGCGCTGATGCTCTTTGCTGCCCTCTTCGGTTACCGCAGGCAACTCGACGGCAAGAACAAGGGGCAGTACGCTGCTATCGTCACCCACTCCGCTTTCTGGAGAGAGCCGGGGCAGGGGGGGAGAGATCAGGGGCTGGGGCAGGGCCGATTTGATGGGCAGGGGCAGGGGCAGGGGGGAAGAGAGGGGAATGGGAGAACTGGCGTTGAGTTTCCAGGAGACGTTTTCTTGAGTGGGGGTAAGGAGCGGCGAGGTGGAAGGAAGGAATTGCAAGGCATGGAGCAGGGAGAGGGGCGCGAGCAGCAGTGTACAGAGCAGCAGCAGGGGATTGAGGCGCGGGGGGTGCAGCAGGTGTGGAGGCGGGATCAGGGAAGCAACCTGTTGGTAGGTGATGCGGCTGGTGTGGGTGGGTCTGGTGCCCTGTGTGCTGCGAGTGAGCAGGGTGAGTCAGGCGTGAGGGGTATACGCTCACAAGAAGGGGTGCCAGCAGTGGCAGCAGGGATGGCAGCAGCAGAAGGGGCAGGAACAACAGCGGGAGGAGCAGCAGCAGGAGGAAGGGCAGAGGAAGGAACAGGAGCGGCAGGGGCAGCAGGAGCAGACTCAAGAGGAGGGAGAGCAGGGGAAGGGCGAGGGGCTGGGGGCGGGCTGAGGTGGATGAAGAGGCGAATTCGCGTGCACCAGGGGAGCGAGGGGGCAGAGGCAAGCCCGATGGAAATTTCAGCAGCAGCAGTGGCAACCACGACGCAAACAGATCTAGCAGCAGCAGCAGCGGCAGCAACAACTGCTGCCACCGTTAATGCAGCGGCCGCAACAGCGGCCGCAACAGCTGCCGCAACAGGAACCTTTACAGCTGCGCCAACAGCAGACACCCCTGTTAATCCGCTCACCATTTGTCCCATCTCTTCCTCTACCCCTCCCACTGTGGGAAATGGTACTTCTAGCTTCCCCAGTGCTTCTCTTCCCAGTCGAAAACTGACCCTCTCAGAACTGCTGTTGCTTCAAACCAGTCATGGTGGTTCGAACCAGCAGGCTCGGACCGAGCCTGTGGCTGCTGCTGCTGCTGCTGCTGCTAGGTTCAGAGAGCAGGGGAGAGGTTGCATAGAGCAAGAGAGAGAGGAATGTGGGTTGAATAATGGGTTGAATAAAAGGAAAGGAGGGGAGAGGTTTGGAGGGGAGAGGAAGAGAAGGAAGGGTGATGCGAAGAAGATTGGCCCGACCAAAGGGTCACAGGATCTGGAGGGTTTAGAGCAGTGGGGAGGAGTCAGGGGAGGTAAGAGGCGGTGGGAGCAATTGGCTGATGCTGACTATGATGACGGTGGTGACGGTGATGATAATGCTGATGATGGTTATGATGGTAGCCGCAAGGATGTCTGCAGTTCTGATGATGATGGTGGTGGTGATGATGATGGTGGTGGTGATGATGATGGTGGTGGTGATGATGATGGTGGTGGTGATGATGGGTCCTGGGAACAGGACGAAGGTGCAAGGCGGGAGAGGCAGAAGCAGCAGCAGCAGCATCAAAACCACAAGCACCACCAGCAGAAGCAGCTAAAGAAGCGGAAAGCGGGTGACATAGGGCAAGCGTGTGGTGTGGACTGGATGGGAATATCAGACAGTGAGCTGCTAAGCGCTGTACAGAAGCACCTTATAAAGGAGATGGAGGTGTGTGCAGGTTTGAGTGACTGTAACGAGGGTGTACAGGCACCTTGGTGGTGGCAGCAGGTGGTTGGTGGAAATTTTGAACAATGCAGCTTGCCAGGAGCCTTGTCAGGTGTTTCACTAGGTGTTCCATCAGGTACCAGCCCTGGTTCAGGTGCTCTGTTGCAACTGGAAAAGCTGCATCAGGAGTTCTGCCAGTTTGTGGTTGGTTGTGGTGGTGGGTTAGAAAAACCCAGTGCTGTTGCTGACCCCAGGAGAAAGGGTGAGGGAGATGAAGAAGTTTCGAGACGCCGCAAAGACAGTGAGGACACGAGGGGAGAAGGCGAGGGTGGTGGAGAGTTGAAAGACGTGGAGGGAGGGGCAGGTGCAAGGGAGAGTGTGGATGGGCGGGGTGGGGACGTGGGTGTGGGAGGAGAGAAGAGGGTGGGAGGAGGGAAGGAGGTGCTGATGAGAGACAGGTGGCAACGGGCAGTGCAGCTGAGCTTGCTTGCAGCGATTGTTGCTGAGTGCGAGTCTTTGAAGAGCAATCTGACGATGTAAACAAGTGCCGTAGCTGTTTGATCAAATAATGTATTGTAGCAAATCCGGGATGCTCTAGTGTCTCTTGTACCTTGTAAAATAGTACGGTATATAACCAAGTGGTACCTTGTACCTTGCAAATATTGTAGTGGGGAGGTAACAAAGTGGTTCTAACTAAAAGGTTCTGTCACCAACTGTTACAGCTTTGTACGAAACTACCGATTTGTATCGTTCCCAAACTAACGGAACCGCACTGGCCGATCGGATGCCGCACAAACTCCCTGCCTGCCTCGCCCCGCCATCCCTCATTCCCTCCTAAACGAAAGTCTACGATGCGCGTCGTAGTAGGCTAGTGACGTCTCTAGAACGTTCCAGGTCCCTGAGAATACGATAGCTGTATCGCGAATCCACGGGTAGAGTTGCGAAAGCCCTTGCTTGGACCTAGTCTATCGTTTTTGGGGCGAATCAAGGGATATTCTGGACCATTTTAAACGACCGAGTTCAGGACGTCATAAAGCTTCCTCGAATTCAGTTTCTCGCCGCTGTTGCCTCTCGCGGCTTTTTATTTGCTACGAAGTACCGTCGCGTTCTGATCTGCTACGAATTGCCAGTCACCGAAACGCTTTATTTTAATCTTGTAGTACCGTGCTTCAAAGTGTTTTGAGTCGACTCGATTCAACCCTAATCTCGTACTGAGTGGTACCGTACCCGTACCAAATTCTACCGAACTCGCTCTGAGCCTTACCGAACTCCACCGATCTCTACCGAACTTCAAGAATGGTAGAGATTCGTAGCGCGGGAGAGGATAGCACGGATCGCTCGCGGTGGCAAATCATCTACCCCGTTTACATAAACTCGAAGATGACTATAGCGCAGGGTCGTCGTATCGCGGCGAGCAAGGCCGCTGAGAACCCCAACATTCAAGAGATGCTCGACTCGTGCACGCATCTCAAGATTCCCGTGCAAGCCGAGGTGAGCTTGCGGGGGAATCATGTCGCGGTGTGTGTGGTGTGGCGTGGTGCCGTGTGCGGTGTGGTGCATAGGGAGTTAGTTATGGTGGAGTCCGTGATAAGGCCGTGGCGAGAACCCCAACATTCAAGAGATGCTCGACTCGTGCACGCACCTCAAAATCCCCGTGCACGCAGAGGTGAGCTTGGGTTGATCATGTTACGGTGTGTGTGGTGGTGTGTGGCATAATAGGGTGCTGAGTCCATGGTAATGGTAGCGCCGCGGAGAACCCCAAGATTCAGGAGATGCTCGACTCGTGCACGCACCTCAAAATCCCCGTCCATGCCGAGGTGAGCTTGGGTTGATCATGTTACGGTGTGTGTGGCGTGGCATGGTACGGTGTGCGTGGCATTATAGGGGTTTATAGGGAGTTGAGTCCATGGTAAGGCTGCGGAGAATCCCAACATACAAGAGATGCTCGACTCGTGCACGCACCTCAAGATTCCCGTCCACGCCGAGGTGAGCTCCTCGTGGTCATGTCAGGAAGCGTGGCATCAGAGGGGGTTATGGGGAGTCGAGTCCCTGGTTAAGCCGCAAAGAACCCGAACTTGTAAGAAACGGTGGACTCGTGCACGCAGCTCAAAATCCCCGTGCACGCAGCTCAAAATCCCCGTGCACGCAGCTCAAAATCCCCGTGCACGCAGCTCAAAATCCCCGTGCACGCAGCTCAAAATCCTCGTGCACGCAGAGGTGGGTTCTGCGTGAGCATGGTATGGGGTGTGGCATGATGGGGGGTTGACAGTCCGTGGTAAGGACGCAAGGGAAGGGTAACACGCGGAGGTGGGTTGGGGGGGAATTATGTTACCCGAAGATTCAAGAGGTGATCGAGTCGTGCACGCACCTCAAAATCCCCGTGCAGGCTGAGGTGGGTTCTGCGTGGTATCATAGAGGGTTATAGGGAGTTGAGTCCCTGGTAAGGCCGCGGAGAACCCATGCATTCAAGAAATGGTCAACTAGTGCACGCAGAGGTGAGTTTGGAGGGAGATCATGGTCCGGTGTGTGGCGTTATATGGCATAATGGGGCGCTTTAGGGCATTATATTATAGGCCATCCTAGGGAGTTGAGTCCGTGGTGATGGTAAGGCCGCGGAGAACCCCAACATTCAAGAAATGCTCGACTCGTGCATGCACCTCAAGATTCCTGTGCATGCAGAGGTGGGTTTGGAGGGGGATCATGGTGCGGTGTGTGGCATTATAGGGGGTTATGGGGAGTCGAGTCCCTGGTTAAGCTGCAAAGAACCCGAACTTGTAAGAAACGGTGGACCCGTGCATGCAGAGGTGGGTTTGGAGGGGGATCATGGTGCGGTGTGTGGCATTATAGGGCATTATGGTGCGTTCTAGCTCATTATAGGTCATCATAGGGAGTTGAGTCCGTGGTGATGGTAAAGCCGCGGAGAGCCCGAAAATCAGGACATGGTGTACACGTACCCTCTGCATGCAGAAGTGAGCGAAGCGTGATCGTGTTATGGCGTCTGTGACTTTTTAGGGCAGAGCCATGGCGTCAGTTTGAGCAGACGCCTGGAATTTCTTCTGGTTTACTGAATGGTCCGACTCATTTTCTGGCCCAATGCATGCCGTGGCCCCTGGTCCAACAAATGCCGTGACCCATGGTCTCCTGTAGCCATCACCTTCACTTGTTGGTCTGCGAATGTGGTCCCAAAATTCCGGTGCGTGCAGAGATGAATTTGGTGTGTTGTGGTGTCTTAGTGCCCCTGTGCCTGTGTGTCGCTGTGTCTCTGTTCATCTGTACATGTATTTAAGTGGATTTATCTGTTCCTTTAACCCCATTGCAGCTAGACAAGGCCTATTCACGGGACTTCTTTCAAAGAGGCCGCATCCGAGTGCAGATTAAGAAGCCCGACGGCTCGCCACACAACCCTGATATCCCCAACAGTACGTGGTTCTTCAAGCTTCAAAGATTGAAAGAAAGAAAGGAAAAAAAAAAGAGCAGAAAATTGACAGCACGGCATTTCCAGCAGTACGTGCTGCTGTGTGGGCAGGCAACCGCAAGGCAACAGTAAGTGCTACAGTAACGACAATGAACAGTAGGTCACACACAACTGGCTTCTTCTACCTTCCAAGCATCCATCCCTGAAAAACGAAACTGGTTGTGGCTGCCTGGTAACTCCTGGGATGGGATTAACTTGCAGCTGGTTTTGCCTCTATCCTTGTATAAGTCAGTGAGGAAAAAACAGCTGGCGGCATAGGTACATAAGTACATCGGTACATAGGTACATAGGTACGCTCCTCATACTTCCCTCATCCTCTCTCAAGTCCCATTTCCAGCAAGTACTTACAACAAATGACTGATTTTGTGGATTACTGTTTACCCTCTCTTCTACTGTACAGAAATGGCGCTTATGCTGAAATTGGGGGAACTTATACCGAAGCATGTTGGGCGGAGCAAGAAAGACAAGGAAAAGGAAGGAGGTGGAGGAGGGGGTGGGGGTGCAGGGGGGTCGCATGGAGCAGGAGGTGGTTCTGAGAAGAAGGGGAAGGGAGGGAAGAAGAGGAGATGACAAGTAGAGGGTTGATGACAAGTCAGTTGGGTTGGGTGTGAGATCGCATGGAGCAGGAGGTGGTTCTGAGAAGAAGGGCAAGGGAGGGAAGAAGAGATGACAAGAATGGTCAAAGATTGGACTATGGTTTTGACGGTTTTCTCATGCTGGAGGTGGTTCTAAAAGGTGGGATCCTGCTGGGTGAGGTAGTCACTGCCACTGGTATTTGGTCAGGAGGATCTAGCTTATCGTTATGTGGCAAAAACAGCCCAAAATCAAGATTAAAATTTCCCAAGATGATAGACCATATACCAAAGCACCACACAAACTCTGCTTGAAGTACCCAGGTGCTAGTCCAGATGCACACAACCATACCGTACATAAGGCCATATTGCCTCCCATGAGGCCTCCAGTGCTAGTCCAGCACCACACAAACTCTGCTTGAAGTACCCAGGTGCCAGTCCAGATGCACACAACACAACCATACACAGAGCCATATTGCCTCCCATAAGGCCTCCAGTCACAAAGAGCCTGCCCTGTGCAGAAGAAATTGTCGCAGGACCACCCAGGACCACCCAAACTGACTAAGTTAGTCAGTTAGTCTCAACTACCGTACATATGGAAGTATGCTACGCAGCCTACTCCACTCACCCTCCTCCCCCCACCTCCCCTCGTCCTCTCCCCTATTCCCCCACCTTCCCACCAACCAAACTCCTTTCTTCAACCCCCACTTCTCCCTTCTTCCCCCCTTCTCCCCCTCAGATTTGCCACTCATTCCATCGTTTCCACTCCCCCCTTTTTTCCCCACTCCTGCCCCCCTTCTTTCTTGTCAACCCCCTAACGTCCATAATAATCCTCCCCTCCCCCTCCTCCTTAAAATCGGATTGACTCCTACGATCACACCCTGATAAAGTCACACATTACAACCCTCCCCCCGTTTCCTGCCCGAACTCGTCACTCATCGCATCATCCCCACCGTCCATCTCATCCCGATCCCCCTCCTCCTCCTCTTCCTCCTCTTCCTCCTCCTCCGCCTCCCCTTCGGCCTCCTCACCCTCCCCCTCCCCTTCCCTCCCTCCCGCCTGCCCAATCGGCGCGGTCCCCTCGTTAGAAGCTCGCACCGCTAGAAGCTGCTGCTCGTACGCCGCCTCTCGCGCGGCCAATAGGGCTTCTTCACTCAGCGCCGCGAGCGACGCGGGAAGCTCTTCGACCGCAGGGGGGCGGAGATCGGGGAAATAGACGAACCCGAACGACATGAGTAGAGTCTAAAAAAAGCGAGCGCGGCTCCAGAACTGGTGAATTTATTCTTTTTTATTCTCTCGTTGCTCCAAATCTAGCGCATGGTTAGACGAAGATGGTCCAAACGTCTGTTCCGAAAAATCGCGATCGTTGACACGCGCGGCGAGAAGGGGATGAAAGGCGGAGCGCGAACAATGCAATGGGGCGGAACGCAGCTAGGGCTGAGAGCTAGGTTGTGATCTGATTGCAACTGCATAAAACGTGTGCGAACATGTGGCGCGGTTTGCTACGGTGTGTTTTCGTGGCAGAACGGTTTGTTACGGTTCGGCACAGCAACCGTCAATCAAATGAGTCGATAACACATTTTTTATATCCGCTATAAGTTTCTGCATAGTGATGATGCTAAATGCACCAATAGCAATTACATCTAACCAACTCACTAAATCAGCCACTATCAATGAGCCGCATCCAGATGCACATTGAGGTCTCGCTCGCTGTGCACCATCACACCACAAATCGGACACCCCACATTCAACGACCTTCCATAAACCGCCCCACTCGCCCCGCTCGCTCCACCCGTCCCATCCCTTCTCTCCAATCCCCCCTCCATATTCCCACTCCTCGTCGCAACATTCCCTACTTGCCCCACGATACCATCACTTCTTCCTTCCACCCCATTCTCCTCCTCAAAATCTCCGGCATATGCTCTTGCCCAATGCTCATCATCCACATCTGTGTGCATGCGTGTGTCCCTCGCACCACCCACAGCAGAAAGGGCGTTCACAGGAAAAGCAGCAGCAGCAGCAGCAGCAGCAGCAGCAGCAGCGGTGGTTGTAGCAGCAGCGGCAGCAGCTGGCGACGCTGCTGACGTGGCAGGCAGCGAATGGAAAGCCGCCACATGGACATCCATCTCTTTCAGCATAACCGGTCTTCTGCACGTGTCACAAGGGGCCGTGCGGGACCCGCAGTGTGCCTCGTGGGGGGAGAGGCCGTTGAGGCGGTCTCTAGCGGAGAGGGGTGGGCCGAGGGCCGGCACGAGGGCAGCACAGAAGCGACACAGGATGGGGCGATGGGGACAGGTGGTGCGCCGGTGGTGGTGCTGGTGGGGTTGGGTGAAGGGGAGGGGTGGAAATGGGAGGAAGGCACAGACAGAGCTTTAGCAGGGAGAAACGGGTGGACAGAGAGGAAGAGGGGGAAAGGGCTATGTGTGAAAGCGACCCGCAGTGTGCCTCGTGGGGAGAGAGGCCGTTGAGTCGGTCTCTAGCGGAGAGGGGCGGGCCGAGGGCCGGCACGAGGGCAGCACAGAAACGACACAGGATGGGGCGATGGGGACAGGTGGTGCGCCGGTGGTGATGCTGGTGGGGGGAGGAGGGGGTTACGGGTGGGGCGGGTGGCGGGAGAATGGAAGGGGAAGCATTGAAGCAACATTTGCAGCCACGGGCAAAGGGAAGGGGACATCGGGGACTGTTTGAGCTCACTCACGCGCACTTACCACATCTCCAGCCTTCCCCTCAAACCCACACTCGCACACCATCTCCCCGAGCCGACCCTGCTCGCGATACTCCCTCTATCTGCTAACTTGCACGTTTCTACCACTCTTACAATATCAGAAGCTTTCCCCACGAGTCCACACTCGCACACCAACTCCCCGTGCCGAGCCCGCTCATGCTTCTCCCTCTTCCTCCGCCCCCCAAACACCTCCCCACACTCCCCACAGTGCTGGTGGTGCTCGCCGCCCAACTCCATATCTGCCCGCCTCAACACCACGGAGCACCCGGGATGCATACAGACAACGGAACACCCGCCCAATACAGAATTCAACCTTATCACTCACTCATCATGCACTTACCACGTCTGTAGCTTTTCCCACGAGGCTGCATTCACACACCAACTCCCCATGCCGAACCCGCTCGTGCTTCTCCCTCTCTCTTCGCCCCCCAAACACCTCCCCGCACTCCCCGCAGTGCTGGTGGTGCTCGCCTCCCAACTCCAAATCCGCCCGCCTCAGCACCACGGAGCACCCGGGATACGGACAAACAACGTTGTGCCGGGAACAGTAGGCCTCGTGCAGGGGCAGCGTGCGGGTGGCGATGAGCTGGCGACAGTTGGCGCAACGGGATTGGTCGGCGGGTGGCGCAGCAGCGTCAGCATCACCACCACCACTGGTACCACCACCAGCAGGATCAGCAGCAGCACGAGCACCGGACGCAGATGGGTCTAGATCCAAGGAGATTAACTCCTTGGAGTGCGCTGAGAGATTGAACCTGCAAGTGCCTGCTACACCGTGCACTGCTATAGTGTACGTTGCAGGCTCCTTCAACCCTTCAACTGCTGCTGCTGCTGCTGCTGCTGCTGCTGCTGCTGCTGCTGCTGCTGCTGCTGCTGCTGCTGCTGCTGCTCCTCCTCCTGCTGCTCCTTCTGATACTAGTGTTCCTGATACTTCCATTTTCTCCGCTTCTGCACCTGTTGATGTCGCTGGTACTGTCACTTCTGGTTCTAGTGCTGTTGCTGGTGCTGCTGCCGCTTTTGCCAGTGCCGATGCAGAGAGAGCGAGGGTCTTGGAGCCAATAGGAAGAATGGATGACACGTCATGGTCCAATAACGAGGGGTACACAATCGGGTGCCTGGACAGGTACAGGTCAGCATCACCCTCCGCCACGTCAGCGGCCACCTCAGCTGATCCCCCTTCAAGCTGCAACCGAAACTCCAGTTCTACCTCCCCCTGATACAACCTTCTGCCTAACCTTTCATCCACAAAGACCTTATAATACCTCCACTCTCCCTCCTGTATCTCCCCTGCCAGTCCCTTCCCCCCTATAGGCAGCACCAGTAACCGCCTATCAGGACTCCCCACGTGGATCACCTCCCTCTTAACTACCCCTCCGCCGCTTCCTCCTCCTCCTGCTCCACCTCCTCCCTCTGTCCCCTTTCCTTTCTCTCCTTTCTCGCCTTTCTCTCCGTGCTCATCTGATTCTCTCAGCTTTCTCCCTATGCCAGCCTTAGCCCATCCGTCCTCCTCGTTTTTCCCATCCCTCCCAGCATCCCCCTTTTCTCCTTCCTTCCCCTTCCCCTTTCCCTGCCCCTTGCCTTCCCCTTGCCTGTTCCCCATTCCCCCCTTGCCTTCCGCTTCCCCCTCCCCCTCCCACGGCGTCAACTCGATTTCCACGTCAGCATCAATCACTGTAGCAGCGCCTCTCGCGCCGCCCACGCCTTTCACCTCGCACACGCGCACCGCCACCTCCCCCACCTCCGACCCGACCAATAGCACGTCGCCACGTGTCAGCGCCGCCTGGCCCCGCAGCGCCGCCTCCAGAATAGCGCGGTGGTTCGCCACGTCAGCAAGGAACCCGTGGCGCAGCGGCTGGAGCCGCGCGAACGTGGCTTTAGGGAGTTTCACGAAGCGTATGCGCACAGGCGGGGAAGTACCGGACGGATTAAAGGCGTCTATAATCCCTGACAACCCCAAATTTCGGAGTATAAGAGGGGGTAAACCCACGCAACCCTCTGGGGCAGTAAACTCCAAAACGCCGCCGTGCGTCACCCTCCGCTTCACTTTCCTGCCGTTATATTCATCCCCGTTAAGATCAACATCCGCCACATAATCACCCGCGTCTGCATCATCCTCTTCCTCCGCATCAACCTCCATTCCGCCTGCCATGCTTCCGGCGATTGCGCTTCCGCCAGCGGCGCGCGGAACGGAGAGCTCGAAGAGCATGGGTCCTCTATCGAGGGCCTCGTCTAGCGGGAGATCCGACAGCACTGACTGAGGGAGTGTGATCTTATCGCGGTCGCCCGCTATAGCGACGGGGATCAGCTCACGATTGAAGCGGATGCCGCCTCCTGCTTGCAGATCCGCTTCTGCTTGGCGACGAGCCTGACGGGGAAAACACGATAGAAAAGGAAACCCAGAGATAATCATTTTTTAGTGGACTTAGCGCGATTGAAGCGGATGCCGCCTCCTGCTTGCAGATCAGCCTCCGCTTGACGACGCGCCTGATGTCCAAAATACACGGCAGAAATAAAAACGGAAATAATAAAACTCGAATCACGAACTGGACGAAGAGTATAAGAATAAAGTATGAAAAATGGAGGGTAAAGCGGAAATTAAGTCAAAACAGGAAAGGTAGGAGTTGTTCGAATCGAATCGAATCGAATCGAATCACTCACTGCTTCGGCAGCTGCAGCCTCCTCCAGCCGCTTGAGCCTCTGCGCCTCTTCGATAGCCCTCCGACGCGCCTCGATCTCTTCCTTCGCCTTCCTCTGTCTCTCCGCCTTCACCCGCGCCGCCTCCCGCTTCTCCCGCTGCTCCTTCTCGTATCGCTGCTGCGCTCTCCGCAGCTCGAAATCCATGGCGGTTTCCTATCAAGGCTGGTGAGATCAGAGGCAAGCGCACAACTGCTGGTCTCCTATCAAGGCTGGTTAATCCTATACCAAACGCGGCACGACTGCTGGTCTCCTATCAAGGCTGCTGAATTTCCAAATGATCAAAGCACGAGAGCAGCTGAAAGCGAGCTTCGGTCAAACCAGAAGACGAAGACCAAACCCGAAAGTTCCTAAAAGCGCTTTCCGCAAGTATACAGAACTGGATCCTTGCACTAAACGTTCACTCAGGCTTCCTACTACCCAGTCTGATGTGAAAATGGTGATTTTTGAAGGCAGTATGCACATCTTGCTACGCGGTTCAAAAAGTTCAGTCGCTTTCCAAAACAGTGGAGTACGGTAACATACGATACGGAAGGCACACACCCCATGCATCTCTCTACCTCAGTTCAGCCACGCCTAGAAGTTACCGGCCGTGTCGCGGGAATCAGTCGTACGTGTTCTGCTCTGAGGAAGAATCGAGAGCCTTCGGGCCGCTGGATTTTGCTAGAGAAATCGCGACCATTAGTTTGTTCCTCGTTGTTTCTATGCTGCTTCGCTGGTCTTGGACGTGGCTCCGCGAAGTTGAGCGGTGTCGGTGGGGCAAAACATGGGTTTGCCCTTTTCGACAACACAGGGAACCGACGGGTTTACGGAAGTTTTGCGGAACGGGTTCATCCCTCCAAGCCTTGGTTGAGTGTAACCCTGGTGACAGGCTTGGGCACTGAAAGCCGTGTCTTGCATTTTCGCAAACCCTCGCCACGCCAGCCGAAACTACTGTAGCTACGACCTCGTCCGCACCTCAAGAGTCGCACAAGCAACAATGACGGGAAACCAGACAGCAGTGGCGAAGGAACTAAGCGACTTTCCGAAATCAGTCACCGCTGTAAAAGCATCAAAACCTAATCCCGTCTCTTAGGTCAACAAATTTCCTCTCCAAGCAGCGAAAAAGGGGACATAGGCATAGGAAGTCCACATAGAGGACCAAGACCACGTGTCCCTCGGTGGTTCGGGAGAGTCACCTAACGCAACGCGTGCGTTAGGTGCAGGCGCATCTCCAGGTAAGGGTTTGGGTTACCGACCAGCTACCCATTTCGCGCAAATGCTATACAATGCCGACGGTTCGCATCGCATTCATATCCCCGTAAGTCGAGCATGCACTGCCGTTCGCACCGCGTTCGCTCCATCGATTTAGGGTATCTTACTCTGACATTTGCTACTTTCGTCGCCCAACCCCTTGCACGCCGTGCACGACGAATAGGCTACCTCCCTTGCATAGTCGAGGCCCCAGTTACAGGCTCGGTCCTCTACCGTTCCGCGCCATTGCGGCGATGACGCGGTTTGAGTCGACTCAAAGCACTTCGCACTTCGTACACTTCGCACGCAGCGCCATTGCTGGTCGTTCCCTTCCTCCCATGCTGGTCGTCCCTTCCTCCCATGCTCGTCGTCCCATTCCCCCTCTCCATCCCTCCCCTTGCGCCTCCTTGCATCTCAGCTCTCGTCTCGTCCCTACATCGTCGCATGACCCACCCCACTCGTCCCTTCCTCCCTTGCGCAGTCATCCCATTCCCCCTCTCCTCCCTTCCTCCCACACGCCCCTCCCCCAAGGCAGCTAGCGAGCGAGTGGTCATCGCTATTACAACGGTGTAGGTGTGTGGCTATCACCGCCTCCCCACCCACTTGCTATCATCCGTCGGTGTGCGCGCAGCAGATTGAGGAGGAGCAGATGGAGGAAATAGAGATGGAGGAGCAGCAGCAGACGGAAGAGCAGCAGCAGACGGCAGGGCAGCAGACGGCAGAGCAGCAGCAGACGGCAGAGCAGCAGACGGCGGCAGAGCAGCAGAGAAGGCCGTCGGTATGGAAGCCTTGAAGGCGTACCAAGCGGGATTCGAGGACGGAGTGGAGAAATGCGTCGAGCGATTCAAGATCGTGCTCGCGCCGGTGGTGGAGGAGATGGCGAGGGAGGCAGTGATGAAGGTCGTGAAATCGGACCAGGTGCTGGAAACCCTCTTTGAGATGTTACAGAAGCATCTTTTGAAACTCCTGCGGGATGTAATTGACTGGTTAGAATCCCGCACCGTAAATCGAGCGACGACCATTGGCCTGGAGGCCAATCGCCCGGACCTCCCGGCTACGTGTGCGGCCTCCGTCCCACCGCTTACTAGTCCTCCTCCTCCGGGGTCCCAGGGCGGCGAGAAGAGAAGGTTGGGCTATTCATGGGGGCCGACAACGACGAGTCGGACGAGGGAGAGTCGGAAGAGGGAGAACCGGAAGAGGGAGAACCGGAAGAGGGAGAACCGGAAGAGGGAGAACCGGAAGAGGGAGAGCCCGCGGGAGGCCAACGCGCGAACGATCCCACCCCGCCCCCAGCTGCCGCGTCCCCACGTTTCCCGAAGCGGGCATCTGCACGCGTGGCGTCCGCGCCTGCACCCACGGCCCGCAAGCGCGCGCGGGCTGACGGAACAGGGGGCGTGCGCGGGGTCGAAGGCGCTGGCGCGGAAACAGGGGTTGGCAGGGACGGCGGAGCAGCAAGCGGAGCAACAAGCGGAGCAGAGAACAAGGGTGCCGGGGCCGACGAGGTGGGAACGGCGGGTAGCGGCCAACGCGCGAACGCTGCTGGGACGGTACAGGCCGGTGGAGCAGAGAAACGTACCGTGCGTGATGCCAAGGACGCGGGGAAGGTGGAGAGATTGAGGCTGGCCGGCATCCGGCAGTTGGAGAGCGGGGAGTGGGTTGCCGAAGCAACCATTGGTGGGCAGCAATGGTACCTGGGGTCGCACTCGAACCGTGCGAACGTTCTCTATCTCCTGTGCATGGCACGGACGGTGTTTGGCGAGCCGGCGGACTTGGGTTTGGAGCTGCTCCCGAGCACCAAGGCCGCGTGGGAACCAGAGTGGAAACAAGCGCGCCACATCCCTCCTGGCCTGTGGACCGTCATGCATGGCTTCAAGCTCACACGCACTGTGCGCAGGTGGGTGCCGGGTGGTGCAGGTGGGTGCCGGGTGGTGCACGCCGGCAGCGTGCTTGCTTCCTTGCGTTCTTTACCAAGATGCGTTGGTTGCATTGCATTGCACGCACGGCTGACGGGGTGTGGCGGTGCGGACCGTGCTCTGTTCTGTTCTGTCTCTTGCAGATACCGCGTGATTTTGAAGAGTTTCGATGCTTTGGCGGGCGACAACGAGAAGGACAAAGAGAGCATGGTGTCGACCCTCTGCGCGGCCATTGGGACCGCCGCCGCTGCCGTCTGGAAGCCTGGCGCCGCCACCGAGCTTTACGCTTCAGCGCTGGCGGCGTCATGCGCGGCGGTGTGGAGCATCTGGCGTGGAGACAGCACCGCCTCAGCTGTCAACCGCGCTGTTGCCGCGACCAGCGCCGTTGGTGCACCGATGGACCTGGCGCTGCACTGCGGGCTCGTGATCGCCGAGGTCTTGGCCAGTTTGGACAAAGGATCCGGCGAAGCCAGAGGGGAAGCCAGTTCGGACCCGGACGCGCGGGTGATTGAGCTAGCGTTGGGCACCGCAGCCCTGGTGACGAGGGAGGTCGCCGAGGTGGTGGCGACAGAGATGGTCAACACGCTGGGCCTGTGGTCGGCTTGCGCTGCCGCTGCAGATCCTCTGGTGAGGCGCGGCTTCCACGTGTCCCTGACTGCCGCGATGAAACGCAAGCTCGAAGCGCACGGATGACGATTGGGGCCCCGGCGGAGGGCCCCGCCTCAGCTGGATAGCTCCGTTCCGTGCGGATATTCCTTGAGTCCTCAACTGATGTGCCCCACAATCCACCGGCTTGCTTGTACTCTGGTGCAGGAGCCTCTGACGGGATGCCTGCTTGAGACTGTCTAGCCTCTTACCCATGTTACAGAGTAACATCCTATTCCGTCTCTATCATTCCTGGAGGATACATGTGTGCTAAAACCTACAGCGGTTGGTTCCTCCTTGGTAGAGCATTGGGGGGCTTGTTCTTGCGTCTTGACAGGCATGACCTTTCGTATTAAGAGATCTTGGGACATGATTCCAGTGAACTGCACTTGTGTAGGAGTATGGTACAGGAAAGACAGTGTGTAAAACACTAAACACTAGCTAGTCACCGAACGTTTGTGAAGCTGAAGCCCTTGGTATAGCATTGGGTTTGTTCTTGACAGGCCTGAGTGACCTCTCATACCCGACCCTATTAGAAATGAGAAACGCAATGCACGATGTTAAAATGAAGCCACACAAGGCACTCTACAGGCAATCCAACATGCAGTTCCTAGGTTGGTGAAATTGCGCGGAGACGCCATGATAGAGGAGAAATGTTGATGCGATAGTAGCACACTAGCCTCTCTCACTTCCACTCTCACTTCCACTCTCGTTTCGGAAATCGTACTCCACAATGAGACCCAGATTATCCACTAACCGATGAAACTTCTCACAGCCGCCACACTACAGTGCGCATCAAGGGGATGACGAGGAACAAGGGAACAACGGGGCACGAGAAATACAGAAGTATTAGGCACATTAGCACATATACAAAAAACAAGGGAGTCAAGCCCACGTTAGGCACATTACTTGGAGCATGGACACTTGGAGTGGCATGAACTAAGAAGTCGTCTAGTCTCCCTCGCCCATCTTCTCCCCTCACCAGCGCAGAGGCTGTTCCCTTCTTCAGCGCTAAAGGACTGGCCAGCCATATATCTAGGTGCCTCAAAAGACCTCAGAAGTGAGGCGCCTCAAATAATTGGCCATCCATGAGGTTCAATGTCACCATGAGGCGCCACACGCCTAGCATATCAATGTCACCATGAGGCGCCACACGCCTAGCATATCAATGTCACCATGAGGCGCCACACGCCTAGCATATCAATGTCACCATGAGGCGCCACACGCCTAGCATATCAATGTCACCATGAGGCGCCACACGCCTAGCATATCAATGTCACCTGCACACTGCCCACTTCCTCTCACCTTTCACCCTCATTCAACTCCCTCACCTCCTCCTTTCACCCTCATTCAACTCCCTCACCTCCTCCTTTCACCCTCATTCAACTCCCTCACCTCCTCCTTTCACCCTCATTCAACTCCCTCACCTCCTCCTTTCACCCTCATTCAACTCCCTCACCTCCTCCTTTCACCCTCAGCCATCTTCCCTCACCCTTATTCCTCGCCCATCCCATACCCCCCTCCTTCCCCCATCACCTGCACAAACACGGTGCCCTTCTTCAGCGCCAGGGGGTTGGCCAGCCATGAGGTGCGGGCGCCACACAATCCACACGTGAACGTCACCTGCACACTGCCCTTACCTCCTCCCTTCCCCTATTTCTCACTCTCTCACTACCTCACTCCCTCACTCCCTCGCTCCCTGAAGTCCTCAATTCCCTGGTCCCACATTCCCCATCCCTCATCCCTTCTCTTCTCCGCCCCGGTACCTTCCTCACCTGCACAAAAACTGTTCCCTTCTTGAGCGCCAGGGGGTTGGCCAGCCGTGAGGTGCGGGCGCCACACGCCCCACACGTGAACGTCACCTGCACACTGCGTCGCTGGCTCGGGTCCGAGTCCAACACCGAGCCTAGCACCGTGCCTGATGCTGAGCCTGCTGGCGAGGCCGGGTCCGAGGCCGCAGGTAGGTCGCCTTGTTCCGTCTCGCCTGCGGCAGAGAGTGGTAGGGTGAGGTGGTGATGGGATATAAGGGGTAGGCAGTGGTGGTCAGTGGTTCGGCGGAGTGGACTCAATGCGTAACGCCTGTGACAGAGAGTGGCATAGTGGGGGTGGTGGTGGGATATAAGGGGGAGACGGTGGTGGTGGGTGATTCAATGGACTGGATTCATTACTTTCAGTCTCAAAATCCGTCTAGCCTGTGACGGAGAGTGGCAAGGTAGGGTAATAACTGGAGAGAAGCAAACGCGCCGAGACTCGCGTTGACGGGCTTGCTCTTGAAAAGCTGAGGTTCGCGAATGGGGAGAGGAGGCTGACCATAATGCAGCGGAGTGAAAGCACCATCCTGAGAACATACACTTATCCAGTGACCTGTTTTTAAGGGCCGTCAAAAGCCACCTCAGTGACGCAGTACATTGAAAGCACCATCTTGAGAGAAAAAGGTTATCAGGTAATTTGCTTCTAGAGTACTCTAAGAACGACCCACAGACACTTCAGGCTTCAGACGCTTCAAGCTTACCTGTTTCAGGATTCTGTTTGGAGAAAATCCTGGTGCGAAACCTTTGACTGACACAAATCTTGGTACTATCAAGCCGGACCCCTATTATTCTCTGTTTAATCTTCTCGTTTCCGCCGACTGCTGCTGTAGAAATGCTTCTTGCCTCCGGTTTGGGCATAAATACTCTGACAGAATGCTTCACTCTTGAGGCATGAAGCTGTGGAAGTTGAATGGGCGACCATCTTACTCGCGAACTGACAGTAGCTGACGCCATTTCTTCGAACGACTCAAAGAGAAGTAAGCAGTTGCGACAGCCGCAACTGAAGAGACAGCTGCAATGGTTAGATCAACAAGATACTATGCTGCATAGACGTAAGCGGTTTGGACTGGGAGCGAGTTGCTGGCCTAGCAGATGCTTCTAGCAGCTTCTATGCATTACAGTATTTGGGGAACCGAGTGGGGTGTTTAATTGGAACTTGTGATGGGGGGCCTGGTCGAACCATAACGAGGTTCGACGAGATGTCAAGTCTGGTATAGACGGGGCTGCGAATATGAGAGTACCCTGGTTACGAAAGTTTCGTCTAGCCTCGCATTATGCGATCGGACGACGAAATGTGGTCATGGTCAGCTCCAAAGTTGTAACCTTCACGATGTGGAGGAGGCCATTTTCGCGTATCGTGAATTGCGAAGCCAATTCAACGGTCACTGGATTGCTATCAAAGCCAGGGAATCTGCCTGACCAGGGGAATCTGTCAGGCCAGAGAATCTTGAAGGTGTCGCGCTGGTGGTCACCTATAAACCACAGTACCTTCCGTTAACGTTTTTGAACCGTAATGCACCTGACGAGAACTAGTACGTGAATTTGAATGCAACATTCTAGGCAGTCCCTGAGCCAGCCAAACACGTCAAATCAATCAAAGCTCAATGGCATCTTCTAATGGAATCAATATCCCGCTTTTGTGCTCCGTTACCTCGAGATACTGTACCCGCTTGGATATTGAAGTAATCTCCGTTTGATGTAGCTGTAGCTTGATTCGCGTTGCCGTTCCGTTCCGTCCTATCGAAATCACGTCATGGCTCTGTCAAGAACGTGACGATCACGACTCCGTCATACCGCTCGACGCCACAATTCAGTCCTTTTCAGTTTTCATTCATTGTTCTTCTGACCAATTCTGTACTCTGAAGTCTGCTCCTCGTTTCGGTCATCTCCTCCCCATGATTCGTATACAAGCGGCCAAGCAGCCTTTGGTGCCTTCGTCTCTCCTTTCATTCCAGAATGAGTTCTCAGCAGCCGAAATTTACGCACCGGAGTTTTGGGAGCGGAACACCCTCGTTAGAAGCACATCCGATAAAAGCTCAAACAGACTTACTAGATAAAACATGTGCTGCTGTTCGCGATCCAAGGCCCACTTCAGCAAGCTCAAGCCAGTCTCTACATCCGCCTGATGCAGCCGTGTCATCCGAGTCAGCAAGCCAGCAGTACACGTCATCAGTACTGACGTCAGCACCAGCAGCTGAATCAAGGTCTACTATAACCGCTTCTCGTCATCCCAGATTTGTGTCGCCCAACGGAACCCCACTCCGCTCGCCTCCGTCACATCCGTTACAGTCACAACCAGCCTCAGATGACCCCTCTTCCTTGTCACTCCCCCGTTCGCAAGGATCCCTGCAAACTCCGCTATTAGCACGTCCCGTTATAGCACGCCCCATTCGGCGCCACTTATCCGCGCATAATCTCTTAAACGAAGAGGATTCTCACACGATTCACCTCCCCACACACAACTTCCTCCTCTCCCTCCTGACCTTCCTCCTCCTAGCATACCTCACCTTCCGCGAAACGCTCTTCTTCTACCCGCCTTGGTCCTGCTCTTCCTTCCTTCGCCTCATCTCCCCTCTCTTCTCCCTCACTCCCTTCCTCGCACTCCTCCTCTCCATACTAGCCCCCTTACCTCTCCTCTTAGGCTCCCTATACCTCCTCTCCCGTCTCTCGGCCTCTGCTCTCCGCGCCTTATTGCTGGTTCTCTTGTCATTATGCTTATATGCGACTATCGAAGCTATTATAGCGCAGCAACCGCAGCCAATCCAGGTTCTGACGAACCACCAGACCCTCACCAGTCTCAGAACCCTCACCAGTCCCCAAAACTTGTCAGCGTCTACCACTCAGCACCGTTTCAGACCACTCTCCCATCACATACATCTCTTCAGATCCTTTTCTCCTCACAGGTTAGGCATTTCCCCTGACGAACGGTTACTTGCCCTCTTTATCTCCCTCCTAGTCGGTTCCATAGGCCTGATTCTCCTCTTCCTCCTCCTCATCCCCTCAACCCCACCCTCCCCTCTCCTTTCCTCCCCTCGCTCCCACCATCCCAGTCACTTCTCTCTCGCATCCTCAGCCCTCCGATCAACTGGGCTTCTTCCATCCAGAGCCGTCCGATTTCTTCTGGTGCTGCCCCCGCTCCTGTCTGTCGCCGCTCTTTTGTTCCTCCTGCCCTGGTTTCTTGCGGCCATCCGATTATTCGTTGTCTGCCCGAGTGCAGGATTTCGAATGCCCGGTCAAGCCTTTGGTTCCAGTTCCACATGGCAAGGCTCGGAGGTCCAGCCTGGTTTGGAAAGATCAGGCTCGGCGGTTCCAGGCACGGAGGCAACAGGAAGGCCAGCTTCGGCATTAGCAGTCGCAGGTCTGGCAGCTGGTTCGGTGTCAGGTCCGGTAGCGCAGTGCTGTGCGGAATGGAGGGAGGCATTAGCACCGTGGGGTGTGACTAAAGGCGAGGAGGTTATAGTGGGGTCTAGCATGCTCTGGCTGGCGTGTGTTGGCCTGCTGCTGCTGTGGCTGCTCGTGTCTGCTTTTGTTGCTCTTTATATGCACCTGCCGATAGGGGTAGGGGAAGTGGAGGGTGTGGGAGAGAGAGGGAGGGTGAGGGAGGGGAGTGAGGAGAGTAGTGGGAGTGAGGGTGGGGAGGAGATTGAAGTAGATGTTTGTGGCTTTGTGAGGGAGTGGGGAGAAGAGGGGCGATTTGAACAGGGGCAAATGGAAGGGGAGCGTCTGGAAGGGAAAATTGAGGGGAAAATAGAGGGGAAGGGGAACGAAGTGGGGGAGAGCGAGGGGGACGAAGTGGGAGGAAGCAAGAGGGAGCAGGAGGGAGAGTGTCACTTGGAATCTGCTGTCGCTGGTGAAGGGGCGATGACTCGGGTGCTAGGGTGGCGTCATGGGGAAGGGGAACAAGAGCGGCAGGAGGGAGAGGAAGGGAGGAAAGTGGAGGAAAGAGAAAATGGCAAGGCGAGGGTAGAGGGAGAGGGAGAGGCGGAGCAGGAGGGGGAGGAATGTGAGCAGGGAGTTGTGAGACCAAAAGAGGTGGAACCACAGCCGCAGGGGGAAATCAAACAGTATGAGCCGCAGGCAGAAGCAGCAGCAGCAGTGGCAGGTTTGCCCGCAGAATCAGCAACAGCACCACCAGCATTGGCAGTTGCAGCAGCAGTGCGGGCAGCACTAGGAACTAATTGCAAAGGCGATTTATCAGAGAGTGGAGAGGCAGGCGCTGCCTCTGGAGTCGACTCAATAGCAGTTGTAGCAGCAGTGCCAGCAGCATTAGGAACTAACCGATCCTTAGAGAGTTGCGAAGGGGTTTTATCAGGAGAACAAGCTGTTTCAGGTTCGGAAAACGAAGCTACGCTAGGTTCGGAAGCTGTTTTAGGAGCAAGGGGGAGGCGAAGCTTATCCAGAGGGCTGCCCAGGGGGTACTTGCCAGGATCTCGTCCACATCAGCGGCTGATTCTGGGATCGGAGGATGAGATGCTGACGTGGCATGCGCAGTGGCAACTGCTACAAAGCTCCTTTAGGTAAATTCGTTCTTGATTTTGCCTTCATCCTTACTCTGCTCCTAATGGGTTTGGAACTTGTTTAAGCCGCTCGCACAGCTTTGATGCATCCTTCTTTCCCTCTCTCCTCCTCGTATGCAGCCACCGCATCCACTGTCCTTGTCATCACCCACTCCCCATCCACCTCCTTCTCCTCAATTCTAAACTCCTTCCCCTTCCCTCCCCCCCCGTTTTCCCCCTTTCAGGCTCGCCTCGCACAATTTTGATGCAGCCTTCTTCCCGTCGCTCCTCCTTGTTGCTGCCATCGCTTCAACTCTCCTCGCTGTGGCCTTTGCAGTAGCACCTCTCTTTGAGTTCACCGATTTCAGCACACCGGTGGTGCTTGGGGTGGTGACCGCCATTCACCTCGACTTTGCCCTGCTCCTCCTCACCATGTGAGTCCATCGTTCAGAATCCACTCCCATCCTCCTGCCTGCCTGTACTGCTGCTGAAGTAGCTGCCTCGTAGCCGTAGCCTTTGCGGTGGCGCCTCTCTTTGAGTTCACGGATTTCAGCACACCGGTGGTGCTCGGGGTGGTGACCGCCATTCACCTTGACTTCGCTCTCCTCCTCATCACCATGTGAGGACCTTCTTAAATAAAACTCCAACCTGAGGCTGAAGGTGATTGATTGCCCTTGCTGTAGCTTTCCCGGTGGCGCCTCTCTTTGAGTTCACCGATTTCAGCACACCGGTGGTGCTCGGAGTGGTAACCGCCATTCACCTCGACTTCGCCCTGATCCTCACCCTGTCAGACCCTCGTTTGAAATAATGCTCATGCCTGTCTCGCCATCCCCCCTCCTTGCCTCTCTGCCTTCCTCACTCTTCTTTCCTTTTCCTCCTTACTTCCAACACCCCCTCCTCATCCCCTTCTCGCCTACTCTTCCCACAGACAGAGTTCTCCTATCCGTGTCAGTGCTGCAGACCCCATCGCCTCTCCTCCCTTCTCTCTCCATTACCCTCTGTCTGCTGCGCCGCTACTCCCACGCCTATCTCGCCCTCATCTTCGGCCTCCTGAGGGTGCTCTCCTCCCTCGCAGCTGCATGCTCCCTCACACCCTCTCTCACTCAGCTCCATCTGTTTCGTGTCCCTTCTCTTCCCCAAACCTACCCGCCCTCCCCTCCCAATTCCCCATCCCTTCCCACCTACAGAGTACTCCTATCTGTGTCAGTACAGACCCCATCGCCTCTCCTCCCTTCTCTCTCCATGACCCTCCGTCTGCTGCGTCGCTACTCCCACGCCTACCTCGCCCTCAACTTCGGCCTCCTAGGGGTGCTCTCCTCCCTCGCAGCAGCCTGCTTCCTGCTCACTGGATTCATTCAAAACGTAATGCTGCATAACCTGATGCGTGTGGCTACACCATCATCTACACCATCTGTACCAGTTACACCTGTGCCGACAGTTTTTGCCGCATCTACACCCATTATCACTGCACCTGCATCATCCACACCGCATACCACCACATTCCTTGTTCCTCCCTTCCCACCACTGAATCTTCAAATACCCATGCCCTCGATACCCCTACTCTCATTCCTCCCACTCACACCCCACCAATTTCCGTCATACCTCCTCCCATCAATCAACGGCTCACATTCAACCCATAGAAATCTCCTCTCCACAGATGTTCAGTCAGCCGTGCTGCTTATCCTAGCCCTGCCCACCTCAGCCCTCATCCTAGCGTGCCTCTTCTCTGCAGTGGTGCTGCATGCTGTAGCATCAACTCTCTTTGTCTCCCTCGCTCTTCACCAAATGGGCTCCATTCGTCTCCCGAGAGCCTTCTAATTCACATGCTTGCCCTAACCAGCTGTCTTACTGCAGCCCTGCCAACCTCTCTGTGCTGCATGCTGTAGCATCCACTGTCTTTGTCCCCTTCGCCCTCCATCAAATGGGCTCAATTCGCCTTCCCAGAGCCTTCTAGCCTCTAATCCACTTGCGCGGCGCTTGCCCTAACCGGCATTCTCACTCCCGCCCTCCCTGACCTACTCGAGCTGCATGCTGTAGCATCCACACTATTTGTCTCCCTCGCCCTCCATCAAATGGGCCCCATTCGTCTCCCCAGAGCCTTCTAGCCTTCAACCCACAGGCCTGCTCTTACCTTCGCTAACCTACAGGCCCAGTCTAACCCATACGCTTAGTCTAACCCTCAGAATCACTTTAACCCCAAGCTCGCTCTATCAGCTCTCTCGTTGTAGTAGTAGCCCTGCGGTCTTGGTATTCTAGCTTGCCCATTCTTTGTGTTGGTAATGCATGCTGTTGCATCGACTCTTTGTGTCCATCTCCATCAAATGGGCTCCAACTAGCTTTCCATAAGGTTTTCATGTACATAGATCAGGGTAAAGACAGTAAGTCTGCAACTTGGTGTACATAATTTCTTTCAATACACGAAGAATGTTTTAGCGAGAGTGCAGGGGGAATCACTTTCAGCGACTTCGCGACTTTTCTCGTTTTTGCAAAATTTTCAACTTTTTAGTCACTACCCGCATGCGCTTGTAGACCAGACCAGATGCATTAGTTACACCTATGGACTAGAAACTTCTAGGTCACACAACGGCCGCTTCTAGCGACAATCTGTTTCACCCATCGCGTTCCTTGGCTAGTCGATATAGTTTCTTCTGAATCTCCCGAAACTGCGACCAACACAGCTTCACTTAGTTCGTTGTTAGCCTTCTGTGAATCACACAATTTTCGACGCTTAAACTACTGTGCACCCAAACCTATATGGAGGACAGAGGTCGGGCCGGGTCCGGCCCCCATCCCGGCTTCCGCGAAGGCGGCGGACCGTGGGGTGCTGAGCAGGGGCCTAGGGATGACGTCAAAGGATCTAACCCTAACGTGCGCGGCACGCAACCGATGATGGGAAACGGCGGAAGCTTTTCCGCCAGAGGGGGAAACGGGGAAGAGGGGGAAGCGGAACGGGGGGGTTCCGACAAAGGCGGGGGAAGGGCGGCGGAAAGGGAGGAGGGGAAGGATCGGGCTTGGGGGAATGGCCAGGGGGAAGGCGCGCGGGAGGACGAGCGGAAGAGAAAAGGGGGACCGGGGGAAGAGGACGACAGGGGTTTCGGAAGGGTCTGGGGGGAGCCTGGGAGATACGGGTGGGGTGGAGGGCGGAGGGATGGGGGATATGGGGACGGGGGTTTTGACGGCGGCGGGGGTTTTGGCGGAAGAGGAGGGGGGGAAGCTGGGGGAGGCGCGCATGGGGGGAGAGTCGGGATGGGGCGCGGGGGAATGGGCGGGGAGATGGGGCCGATGGGAATGGGGGGGATGGGGCATATGGGGGGACCGATGGGGCCAGGTATGGGAGGCATGGGCGGAGGGGGGATGGGCGGCGGGGGAATGGGGGGAGGCATGGGTATGGGTATGGGAATGGGCATGGGGCATATGGGCATGATGGGGAATATGGGGGGAGCGGGCGGAATGGGAGGCATGGGGGGAATGGGAGGGATGGGGAACATGGGGGGAGGAATGCCTATGGGGGGAGGGGGTCCGCCTATGGGCGCAGGGCGTCCCCCTATGGGCGGAGAGGGCATGCCCATGGGCGGAGGGGGAATGGGCGGAGGGGGGATGGGCGGAGGGGGGATGGGCGGAGGGGGAACGCCCATGGGCGGAGGCCCGGGAATGCAGATGGGGGGAGGTCCGGGCGGAATGGGGGGACGGGGGATGCGCATGGGTCCGCATGGGGGAATGCCCATGGGCGGAGGGGGGCCCGGGCCGGGAGGCGGGGGAGCAGGGGGAGCAGGAGGCGGAGGCGGAGGCGGAGGCGGAGGCGGAGGGGGAGGGGGAGGGGGAGGAGGAGGGGGAGGAGGAGGCGGAGGCGGAGGGTCAGGGGGAGGGGAAAACCGGCAGATGGGCGCGGGAGGTGCTGGAGGCCCGCCCATGGGCGGAGGAGGGATGGGCGGAGGCATGGGGGGAGGCATGGGCGGAGGCATGGGGGGAGGGATGGGGGGAAGGATGGGCGGAGGAATGGGGGGGAGGGGGGGCATGGTAACTCCAGGGGGGCGCATGGGGTATGTGGCAACGCGGGGGAAGTCAAGGGGGGCGCAGAATGACTATTCCCAACACTTTGTGGATACGGGATACAGGCCTCAGAACTTCATACGCGATATGGACGTGAATGATAGGTTTGAGGAGTACCCTAAACTGAAGGAGCTTATAACGAGGAAGGATCGGATCGTGGCGGATGCTACTACGCCTCCTGTGTACCTTCAGATGGACTTGAAACAGGTAACCTGGTAACCGGATAGACAGGTAAACCTGCTCGAAGTTGCAAAAAGCAGGTAACTGGGTAACCAGATCTGGTGTTGCACCAAGCAGGTAACTGGGCACCAAGCATGTGTGAGCATGGATTTATGGTGTTTCATGTAGCCACCCCACCTTTTTGCTGTCAGATGGTTCTGAAGCAGGTGAGTGTGTGCTATGAGGATATTTGATGGTATGTGCTCATGAGTAATGAACACATTATTTGATGCCATTCTGATCGAACCCCCCTGGATGGAGGAATCCTTTTTTTTGTCAACGCACCCAATGTTGCTCTCCTCATTCTCTCTTCCTCCCTCCTTTCCTTCACAACCGCTTTTGAGACGTCTTAAAAGTCTTCCCACCCGCCATTAAGTTTGGTGTCATTCTGATTGAACTCCCCTGGATGGAGGTTTTTTTTTTGTGTTGTCAACAAAATACGCACCCAATGTTGCTCTCATTCTCTCTCCCTCCCTCCCTTCCTTCCCACCCTCCCCCCCCACCTTCCCCCTGTCACATCCACACACCCCCAGGTTGAGTTGACTCCTGAAATATTTGGCACCAAGTTTGATGTCATTCTGATTGACCCTCCCTGGGAGGAATATGTACGACGAGCGCCGGGCATGGGGGACGAGATAGAGTGGTGGACACCGCAGGAGATCATGGCTCTGAGAATCGAGGTACGACCCGGGGGAGGTAGGAACTGGTAAGGCACTGCGAGTAGGTTGGGAGAAGTATGTGCGGTAATCCCTGGGCATGGGGGACGAGATAGAGTGGTGGACGCCGCAAGAGATCATGGCTCTGAGAATCGAGGTAGGAAGTGGTTGGGGGAGGAGGTAGGGACGGGGAGAGGCTGGGAGAAGCGGGCACCAGGCATGGGGGACGAGATCATGGCGCTGAGAATAGAGGCACTGGGTGGCCTGGGAAATGTGGTCTGGCGCGTTGCTGGGTAGGGTAGTGTGTCTCCCCACCCTAGTCGTACTCACCCTCTCTTCCTCTCCGTCCGTCCGTCCCCTTCTCCGTCTTCTTCCTTTCTCCCATCCCTCCTTCCCCCAGGCGATAGCCGACACGCCCTCCTTCGTCTTCCTGTGGGTGGGGGACGCCGAGGGGTTGGAGTATGGGCGCATGTGCCTCAAGAAGGTATTTTTCTTCCCCCTCTCACATGCTGTAGTCTCACATGCTGTAGTCTCACGTGCTGTAGTCTCCCATCTCACACACAACGAAGTATTCCGGCCTGCTCGCAGCATTGCTGTCTCTGCTCCCCCCTCGTGTCTTCCTGTGGGTGGGGGACGCCGAGGGGTTGGAGTACGGGCGCATGTGCCTCAAGAAGGTACTGTATCCCTCCTCCTCATGTGAGGAAGAAGATGAGAGAATGAAGCAGCCCCTCCCCTCCCCTCATCTATCCATCTTATGCGCTTGTTAAGAGCTCGATCGTCGATGCATCCACATTAGTTTTTGGTGTCAAGGGCTTTTGTGCCCCTGCATGTATGCATGCATTTTTTGAGGCGCCTCAAAAGTTTTTGGTGTCAAGGGCTTTTGTGCCCCTGCGTGTAGGCATGCATGGCACCTGCTACCAACCTTTGAGGCGCCTCAAAAATGTATGCATGCATGGCACCTGCTACCAACCTTTGAGGCGCCTCAAAAATGTATGCATGCATGGCACCTGCGACCAACCTTTGAGGCGCCTCAAAAATGTATGCATGCATGGCACCTGCTACCAACCTTTGAGGCGCCTAAAAAATGTATGCATGCATGGCACCTGCTACCAACCTTTGAGGCGCCTCAAAAATGTATGCATGCATGGCACCTGCTACCAACCAGGAGGGAGGGAGGGTTGCCATCATGCCTCTCTCCCGTTCTACTCTTGCAACCTGTCATGCCTCTTCCCTCCTCCTCCTCCCTCCCCTTTATACAAACAGTGGGGTTTTCGTCGCTGTGAGGACATCTGTTGGGTGAAGACCAACCGGGAGAAGCCTGAGAGGGAGGAAGGGCCAGTAGTTTTGCCACTGGAGTTGCTTCATGTGCGCCCCTTTCTCTTCCATCTCCCTCCTTCCCCCTTCATACAAACAGTGGGGATTTTGTCGCTGTGAGAACATCTGCTGGGAAGACCAACCGGTAGAATCCTGAGAGCCCCTAGCCAACCTTAGGTAGCCCTAAACCCTTCTCTGCCATTTTTTTTCTCTCTCCTCCCGTTACTCCTGCTGCCCCCTTTTTGCACGCTGTGGGGCTTTCGTCGCTGTGAGGATATTTGTTGGGTGAAGACCAACAGGGAGAAGCCTGACAGCCCCTGGGGACACACGTTAAGAAGCCAACGGGGAAGAAACCAGGAGGACGAGAGAACCACTGTCACTCCTACTGCAATCTCCTCTGCTCTGCCCTTTTTCTGCCAATCCCCTGCTCCTCCTGCTCCTCCTTTTTGCCAACAGTGGGGTTTCCACCGCTGTGAGGACATCTGCTGGGTGAAGACCAACCGAGAGGGAGGGAGAGTTGTTGTCATGCCTCCTCCCTTTTCTCTCCTTTCAGCCAACCTGTCATGCCCCCTCTCTCTTCTCCCTCTCTCCTATCACTCACAGTGGGGCTTTCGTCGCTGTGAGGACATCTGTTGGGTGAAGACCAACCGGGAGAAGCCTGACAGCCCCTGGGGACACACGTCTGAGACGCTGTTCCAACACTCCAAGGTGCAGTGCGGTGCGGAGTGGTGCGGTACGGTATGATGTGGTTTGGCATGGTGCAGTGGGGTTCAGTGTGGTGTGGGTTGTGGAATATGCATGTGACCAAGTTGCTCTTGATCCAGTCATGCCCCTCCTCCCATCATTCTTGTTTTCCGCCTTTCTTCCCATTCTCTCTCTCACTTCCTCCCCCTTTCCCACCGTCCCCTTCACCCCCAGAAGCACTTTCTGATGGGCATTAGCTTCTGAGTCAACTCAAAAGATGTCTGATGGGCATCAGATCAACATGCCCATCAGGGACGGTCAAGAGTAGTACCGATGGCCATGTCATTAACGCTAACATGCATCGACACTGATGTTCTTATATCAACCGTCTCCTCCTGTTCCCCCTCCCTCTTCCCTCCTAACCTCTCTTTCCCCCAGGAGCACTGTCTGATGGGCATCAGGGGGACAGTCAGGAGGAGCACAGACGGCCATGTCATTCACGCCAACATTGACACTGACGTGCTTATATCGGAGCAGCCACCCTTTGGTAAGTGACAGTAGCTGATGTGCTTATATCAGAACAGCCGCCGTTTGGTAAGTGATTGTACTCGATGTTGTTACATAAGAAGAGCCGCCGTTTTTAGCTATCTGCTTTGAGTTATTCTCATCATCTGCTTTCAACTGCTCGCAATCGCTCTCGACCCTTTCAACCATACTTAACCGCTTCAATCCGCTCTCATTCTCCTCACCTGCAGGAAGCACAGTAGCCACCCCATGTCACTGCTTTCAGCCACTCTTAACCGCCCTCAGCCTCTCTCAACCTCTTTCAACTGCTCTCCACCGCTCTCAACCAGTCTGATTCCCCTGTGCAGGGAGCACGGAGAAGCCCGAGGGGCTCTACTCTCTCATTGAGCACTTTGCTCTCGATCCGTTTCATCCTCTAGTCACTGCTTTCAGCTGCCCTTAACCGCCCTCGGCCTCTCCCAACCTCTTTCAACTGCTCTCCACCGCTCTCAACCACTCTTATGTCCGTTGCAGGGAGCACGGAGAAGCCCGAGGGGCTCTACACTCTCATCAAGCACTTTGCACTCAATCCGTTCCCAACCGCCTTCAACCGCTCTCAACCTCTTCCAACCCCTCTACGCTTCTTTTTGCGCAGGGAGCACGGAGAAGCCCGAGGAACTCTACTCCCTCATTGAGCACTTTGCTCTCGGGCGGCGGCGCATCGAATTATTTGGCGCTGACCACAATATCCGGGCAGGCTGGCTGACCGTGGGGAAATCTCTCACCTCCTCAAACTTCAACCCGCAGGTGATTCGTCACATGCAGCCAGAGTCTTTTTTACTCTTTTTTTTTTAACAGATGTATCTTTTCTGTTTTGCCTGTGTTGTCACGCTTTTCTGCACGTTTTGTTTCGTGCTGTTGTGTTCCTCATGTTCTTGTGTTGTCATTATTATTATTCATATATTAACATTTGAAATCACATATTGGAGCAGGTTACACAGGCTGAAGGTTCAATCTCCTCTACACCCTCCTTTTCTAACATGTGACTAACCACACCCCACTCCTCTCCTTCCCGCTTGGTATGTTTCCTAACAGACCTACTGCAAGCTCTTTGCCGGACCTGACGGCAAGGTTTGGCAAGGCACGGGCCGAGGCAACCCCCCACCTGGAGCGCCGCACCTGCTGGTTACCACGCCTGAGATCGAGGCTCTCCGGCCCAAGTCCCCGCCGAACCGGCAGCAGCACGGGAACCACCCAACCCCCCATTCAGCCACAGAATCAATTTCAGCCTCCGGCCAATATGGGAAATAACCCGCCTTTTGGAGGAATGGGAGGTCCGGGGGGTCATGCTGGGCCAGGGATGGTGAATAATGGTCCGGGTGGAGGTTCTTTTGGTGCTGGTTCGGGCCCAGGTCAGATGCATGAAGGGCAAGGTGGGGGAGGTGGGAAAAGAACACCTCCCGTTCCACCTAATTTTCAAAATTAAGATCAGGGGAACTCTATTATTCTTTCTCTAATTGCTGAACTTCGCTGTATGTATTTTACAGTTCTTGTGGAAGTGTTTTGCGTCAAATAAGAATTGTGCCCTCCGTTTGAAGCACCCGGGGCGAAACGCTGTCGTGGCAAATCGATGTGGTGACGCTTCACAAGGGGTGTCAATTATGCTGCAACGCGTGTCACGCTCCAGTTGGTTCACTACGAAACGGGGATCTCAGCCACAATCAATTCCCCGTTATAGAGACAGCGCACAGCCTGAATCGTTCCCCTGACTACAGATTGAATTCAGTTAGTCAGCCCTCTGGCATTCCGTAGCCTCGCAAGGCTCGTGTACCGTAAACGTTTTTTTAGTTCGGTACTGCCTGGATTCTGGATACTTCCCCCTCGAGATTCACGCCAGGCCCAAGAGCCACACGAGCCGAGGTAGTGTCTGACGACGCGCGACTGACCGTGAACTGCGGTGACCATCTGACGGTGGCCAGTTAACGTCCGCAGCACCTCTTGTGAAAACAGTGTTCACTTAACGAAGTTTACTGTAACGAATTCGGCCGTGTTCGGGATATTTTCGTCTACCTCTGCGTTACCTTAGTGGATACCGCCTCGCGCCAGTTCGTCGATATGGCCACTCCAAGCCCGGCAATTGCCACGTCAGCCGCTGCCGTGTCACAATCATCCATACCACGTGCCAGCTTTCCTCTTTCCCGCGCACAAGCGTTTGCACCCGTTCCCGCAGCCGCGGCTCGACCTTCCAATTCCCGCCAAAAGCTGTCCCTCGTCTCCGGCTTTTCAGGAGCTAGGGTCAGGTTTGCTGAACCAGGATCGCTAACCAACGGCGTTGTGCCACGTGTTGGGAGGCCCTCCCAACGTCCTGGCCTGCTGGTTACGGCCACGTGGCTTGAAAACAAGTGAGTGCGTAAATGTACGCTTGTCGTAAGCACTCTCTAAGTGAAATGTTTACCTATCCGGCCGCTGGTGTGAGTCCGTAAGCTCCTGTCTTAATTCCCTGTTCACTAAGTGTTATGCCGAGATGCTTGCTGCTGCTGCAGACGCACGTTCAATTTTCGTCAGCATATACCATGCCACTCGTTCGCCGAACCTGTTCCTCCTGTTCCGCCTCGTCGTCTCATGTGCTGACGTGGCAGGGCCGTGGTGGATGCGCCATCTGTCCCTCTCCCATTGGCCTTCGACCTGTGGTTGGACCGAGAGCTCATCCCTTCCTGGATGCCGTGGATTGCTTCAGTAAAAGTACGTAATTCTGTTCCTGCTATAAGCTTACTTGTGGTTGGACCGAGAGCTCATCCCTTCCTGGATGCCCTGGATTGCTTCAGTAAAAGTACGTGATTCTATTCCTGCTATAAGCTTACTTGTGGTTGAACCGAGAGCTCATCCCTTCCTGGATGCCCTGGATTGCTTCGGTAAAAGTGAGTACTTCTATCCCCGGTATAAGGTGATCCATGGATGGACCAAGTGCTTCGTACAACTCCTTCCCTGTATGCGGATAGCTTTCGTCTATCCTTATCCCGCGCATCACCGCCAATCCCTCTCCCTCACGCTCCTCTCACCACTTCCTCCTCCCCGTCCCCCCCTCATCCGCCCCTCTCCCCCTCCCCTTGTCCCTCTCCCCTCGCCCCTCCCCCTGTCCCCGCTCTCTCTCCTCCCTTGCTCCTCCATCCTCCCAGATGCGTGACGACAAACCAGAGCTCTCCACGTGGACCCTCCGTTACAATGCATTTGGGCAGAACCTCGAGTTCTCCTGGCTCGCCAAGAACCTGCAGGTGAGGGTGGGAGAGGGCAGATGTGACCTGCACAGATTGGGTTGGGGGAGGGGGGAACCAGTCTAGCCGTTACAACGCCTTTGGCCAGAACCTCGAGTTCTCCTGGCTCGCCAAGAACCTTCAGGTGACATGGAGGTGGGGGGAAAGGGGAGGGAGGGGGAGGGGGAGAACTATCTAACTGATGCAACGCATTGGGGCAGAATCTTGAGTTCTCCTGGCTCGCCAAGAACCTTCAGGTGAAGGCCTGTACAGGTTGGGGGAAGGGTGGGGGGAAGGGGGAAGGGGGATGAACAGTCCAGTATCTGCAACGCCTTTGGGCAGAACCTCGAGTTCTCCTGGCTCGCCAAGAACCTGCAGGTGACATGGAGGTGGGGGGGAAATGTGGGAAACGGCAGGCGCAGAGGTGAGAGTGAGGGGGAGTTGGGCGGTTGTGCATTCTTACCAACGCCTCTAGGCAGAGCCTCAAGATCTCCTGGCTTGCCAAGAAGAACCTGCAGATGATATGGAGGTGGAGTAAGCGGGAAGCGGCAGGCTGTGCATTCATACAACGCTTTTGGCCAGAACCTGCAGGTGAGAGGGAGAGCGTGCAGAATGTACGGATTGGGGAGAAGGGGCGGGGGAGTAATGGGGGACTATTGATTCTCACAGCGCTTTCCGTCCTCCTCCTATCCTCTCTGTATATCCTCTCTATTCTCACCCTCCACCGCACCAGCCCATCCACCATCAGAAGATCCACTGGCGATCACTGGATGGTCTTCCCAACAGGGGCGCCGTCCGCTTCTTCCCCAGCGGACCCAACGGCTGCAAGCTGGAGGTACTGCACTGTGGTGTGGTGTGGTGCGGTGTGGTGTGGTGTGGTGTGATGTGGTGTGCGGTGCGGTGACGTGTGATGTGGATTCGTGTGGTGTCGTGTGGTCTGGTGTGGTGCGGTGTGGTGTGATGTGGTGGTGAGGTGGTTTGCCTCAAACTTCTGCTCTTTCCTCGGTCAAATATCACTTTATGAATAATCTTTACATTCCCCGTTTCTGCACTCTACACCTCGCTTCACAACCTTGCAGATGACCATTTCTTACGAGGTGCCAGGGATTCTCGTCCCCGTCGCAAATGTAAGAGCACTTTTTACTTTCAGCCTTCCTACATGCCCGATTACCTTTCAGTTGTTCCAAAGCTCCTCTGAACCCCATATGGTGTATGCTCCTCCTGTTGTTACTTGCACTATGTACCCATCCTGAAGCTGACTTTTGATCGACTCAAAGCATCACTCAAACCGACCTTGAATGGTTCGTGTAGTTTGCACTGTCTGTTCCCTCATTCCTTTTTTTTCATCACCCTCCATCTTCCTGTCCCCCACCCCCCTGGGCCCCCTCTCTCTCGCCCTTCAGAGCCTAGCCCCGTTGGTGCAGAGCATCATTCAGGCCGACCTCGAGCGGTTTGTGGAGTTTGCCAAAAAGAGAGTTCAGCAGCAAAGGGTGTAACAAACTGACCAGGTTGCTGTATTTATGTCTTGTGCGTGTAGCTGTAGCAATCTTGTGAACACTGATTTTGAGGCATGTAATTAGTGTACAATTGTGTACTGCTTTCATATGATTGCCTGTGCATATTTAGCAGAACCTGATTGTTTTCTACTGGAATGTTGTGGCGAGCATCAGGTTCATCTGTCAGCAGTAATGCATGACTTCACAAGTCAGTGGACTCTTGGCAGCCATGAGGTGCAGTGCAGCTCACAGCACAGTATACAATACACACATCAGAACACACAAAAATCTTCACCACAGTTTAGTGGCCCTGCAAACGAACGCTGTATCCGGAGGATTCTTTAAAAGCAAAGGAGACAAAAACAGATAATGGCTTTTCAGCTTCATGTGGACTTCAATTGAGGAGCAGATTCCCCTGCGCTGAACTCAGCTGACTCTTCCAAAACTGTAGAACCCAGTCTGTTGGGAGGCCAGTATCTGTAGATTGATCGACCCAAAACATTTTTCACTGGTAGAGGGCCCCTGCTCACAAGTAAAACAAGAGATTAAGAACCCAGGAGAGGAATCGTAACAGAATAAGCTACGGTTTCAATGAAGCGAAGAGCGAAATGGCACGATGATGGTAGCATGTGGGCGTGGAGAAAGCACGTAAGGCAAAGCATGTATGCTGCCTACCAGATGTGTGAGTCATAGCTGTTGTTGCGATTGTCTCCCATGACAAAAACGTATCCTGGTGGGACATACTGTGCAGAGAAGAAACAGAATGGTTGTGAACGGTTTAGGTTATGTGAGGTTAAGAGCAATCCTGGTGGGGGTCACTGATGGAAAGAAGGATGGAATCGTGAGGAAGGCGCAGGGGTGGGCAAAAACAAGAATGGTGTTAAATAAAGAAGAACAAAACAGCTACCTGAGGCTTCATATCGTATGCAGGTGGCTCAAAAGTGAACTCATCACTCCTCTCAACACCATTCACATAGGTTTTCCCAGCCTTAACCTGCACGAGTCACGAAGAACCACATCAGACCGACTTTATAGAAAAACGACCCAGCAGTATGCAACCAACCATGCGATAACAGTCACAGATTTGCACCAAAAGGACAAAGTGGGGAGGGACAAAGAGACGGCACTGACCTCCACAACGTCGCCAGCAGTCGCAATAATTCGCTTGATAAATACTTCGCCAGCACTGTACCCTCGTTCCTGCATGTAACAAGCTCGTATGGTGAACCTTTCAACAACCACCTCCATATCTCGAGCATTTCCGAAGAGAGACCCATGTAGTAAGGGCAGAATGCGTACCTGAAGAACCTCGGGTGCCTTGAAAATGACAATATCGCCGACCTCTGGTTCTCGGAAATAGTAGGAGACCTGCACAGGAGGGGAATGAATAAGGTTTGTTTCGCTGTGAGGCTGTACAAACAGTAAAACCAACTGATGTTTAAGATCGTGACCATTGCTTATTGAATAATGTATGACTCTTATATCTCCTCGCATTCGTCGTTAGAGGAACGGAAACCTCTCTAAGGCATCCACAGACTACTATTCATTCTCGTTCCTCGACTAGGAACCCGCGGGGTGTCTCACATTTTAGGCAGTCTCCGATGCAGATCAACTTCGGCTCTGATTTCGACGACGGCAGGCTCACCTTTTCCGCAATAATTCTGTCGCCAATGTCGAACGTCGGAAACATTGACAGCGACGGTATAAACCGTGGTTCCGCGATGAACCATCGAAACACCAGCGATATTCCAAACGCGATCAGAACCGTCTTGGCATCGTCTGATGTCAGATCAAGCCAATCGGGTAACCAGCTGGGCTTGTTAGAGTTTTCGCCGGACTCCCGTTGACTTTCAGGTTCCCGATCGCTGGTCGTGGTCACATTCTTGCCTTTAGAACTTCCGTCATCACCTCCTCCGGTTTCACCCTCCTCGCGAACAGCAGAAACTCTGACGTCTCTCTCTATGCTGCCATTCCTCTGAGACCCAGACGGGATCCCGTTGAGCGACGATCGTGAATTCGCTCCAGATCGGACGGTAACGAGTGATTGCTGGCCGGAAATTGCGGGTCTCGAAAGTTCTGATGGCTCCCTGAAGGAGGATCGAATACTGCTTCGAAACGTAATACTCGCCGGTCTACAATTTCTAGTCGAATTCCTACAGTTTGAAAAATGCGAAACGGCTGACCGATGTTGAACAATGGCGGCATCGCTGCATGTGCTCGCGAAACTGCGATCCAGAAATTTCGAGCTGCTACAAGCGGACAAGGCCACCGAGTTCATCATACCGAGACTTTCACTGTCTTGCAGCACAGCTGCGGCTGGTCAATCACCAGAAGAAAATCGGGGACGATACAGGACAAACGCGTTAGAGACGGCTGTCTTGAGGAGGCTGGTAACGCGACGCGCCAAAGGAGAACGAGGGGCACCAGCTGAAGACGGAGACGGAAACGGAGATGCTGCTGCCACTGCTGCTCCTGCCCCTGCTCTGCTCTCAAGCTGGTGAAAATGGTGGCCTCCTGATGATGCTTGTATGGAAAATCGAGGAACGAAGCAGCCTTATCCAAACCACACACCGAGGAAAGGTAATTGCGAGGTGAAGAGATTTTGTCCCACTACAGTACCGTATTCCTGCAGTTTCGCGTGTACCTTGAGAACTCTCACCGTCCGCCTTACAAAACGATACGTCTGTATCACATCTGTGTACAAGAAAATACAGAGTAAACGCCATAACACTCGAACTGGGTACAAATCGAGCATGTACGAAAAATGTTTATTACGAGCGTTTTGAACTAGTTAGTAGCTCAATCAATGCATTCATTTTTCTATTCTTCTTTCATCGAAAAAAAACCAGCGAAACAGTGTACAACAGTGCAAATTTCCATACTGGAAAGTGCTATATTCAACAGATAACAAAACGATTTAGTATGCTCCATTCTTTATACACTTACGACACGTATGTACTCCTCTAGAACCGTCTTCCACAAACCCATTTGTGCCGTTACAAACGCGTATGCACTAATGGAGGTGTTGCACACCGTGCCATCCCAAACGCCATGCCCAAGCACGCCGCACTTGTCGCTTCGCACGCCATGGTCGGCCCAGGTCGCGCGACCTTCGACTTTCTTCGAGCAAAGCATTGCTGATTGCTGCATCCATAGGTTCCAGCTATGCAAGTGAGCGAGCGCTACCCCTAGCGAGAGTCGAGCCAAAAGATGGCGGTGGCAAGCTTTATTCTGGGAGACATTTGTAACTTGCAATTTAGCGACAGTCCAATAAATTCGCAGTCGTTTCGCTCGTATCTACACCAGCAGAGTTCCAGCAATCAGGTAACATTCCGCATGGAACGATGGCCACCAACCTATTTTCGCAGTCTTGCACACACTCCTCTTCAACAATTTCCCATATGCGGCATGTGGGAGCAAGGCGCGCAGCCCGCTCTCGTTGCTTATCGGCTCGCGGGAGGATAACCAAGCAAGTCGACCGTACTTACAAGCAAGCCCATATAAATGGCAGGGTGATAAGGACAAACATCACAACGATCTCCAGCTCTCGACAGTCCATACTTCCCACTATTCCCATCTCACTTCAACCGTCAGCCCCCTGTGCTTATTTCAACGTATTCGCTCCTGCATCTCCCACGCTCTGACGCGGTACCTTCTCATCACACACTCTCTCAGCTTATCAAGCTTCGCAAATTTCAGTCGCAGCCATGAGTCAGCTCAACGTTTCGTTCTGGGTCATCGTGCTCCTGTCGGTGCTTGCCGTGTCGACCTTCCCGGCTGCCGACGCGCAGTCTTACTTGGCGATTCGCGCGCAAGCCGCCAGGAAGGCCGCGAACGACGCGGACGCGCTCGCGCAAGCGGCGCAGGCTGATTACAACGACAAGCTCAAGGCGGAAAACGCGGCGAAGAAGGCCGTTGACGACGCTGACGCGGATCTGGCCGCCGCGCAGACGGATCTCGATAACAAAAAGAAGAAGCTCGACGATACCAAGGCTAAGGGCGAGAAGGCGCGCCAAGACACGATCGCGCTCAAGCAGACGGTGCGCGACGAGCAGGATTATGACGATGAGCTCGAAATGAATGCCGGCGAGGCGGATAACAACGAGAAGCAAAGCGCGCAGGATATCATCGACGCGCAAGCGCGCGCGAATCTCACGGCGGATCTGCTGACGGAGCAGAACGCGATCGTGAAGGAGGCGACTGATGACTCGACGTACTACGCGCGGCTCGCGACGAAGCTCAAGACGCCGCAGGCGCAGGCGGACGCTCTCGAGGCGCAGTCGATCCGCGCGCAGGCGATTCGGATTCAGGGCGCGCTTGTGACGCAGGCGAAGAAATCCGTTGAACGCGTCGGCAGGATGCAGTTTGAGTGGGCTGCTACGGCTAAGGACAAAACCGACACGAGGAAACAGGCTGATGACCATAAGGTCGTGCTGAACAAGGCTAAGAAGGACGCGAACGACGCCGAGGCGCTGTATAACGCGACACTCGTCGAAGCTAAGAACATCGACGCGGCGATCAAGCAGCAGAGTCTCGTGGTCGCGGCGAAAATCAAAGCCGCGAAAGACGCGCGAGTTCCGCTGGCAAAGGCATCTGCTGCTCGGGCTGCCTCCGAAACCAAGTTCACCGCGCTCAAGTCGCGCGCTGATGGATTCAAGGCGGCTGCGGACAAGGCGGAGAAAGAGAACGCCGACTACGAGGCTGCTAACAAAAACGGGAACGGCAACGGTAATGTGAACGGGAACGGAAACGGGAGCGGCAACGGAAACGGCAACGGAAACGGAAACGCCAACAACTAGCTCGCGTGCTCTGCTCTAAAAATCGCCGGAACCGCGCCCATCCTCCCGATACTCCCGACGCTCTCTGACACTCCCAATGCCCATCTATCGGTTTCCGACATTGCTTCATTTTTTTCCTCTGAGCCCAAAAATATGCCTGCCAGAGCCTAGCTAGGCTCTCCGCCTTAGGAGCACGCTGTCTTTGACGAGGCATGTGTGCTGTCTGAGAAATAAAGGCGTGTTGTGATGTTCAATGAAATCGCTGATCAGAAGATTGTTGGACCCAAGATCTGCTCGCTAAACAGGTTGAAGGGTAATACTAGTGGTACAACATGCATGTTCTCCTCAACAATTCCCCTGCAAATGTTACAAACGTGTATGCGACTCGCATTTTCCACATGCCATGGGCAAACACCGTACATCGCTCTTCTTATTGGTCAGACCGGGTCGCGACCTTCAACTTTCCTCAGGCAAGCATGGCTGATTGCTCCACCCATAGGTTCCAGCCATGCAAGCAAGTGAGCGCTTCCCCCGGGAAAGTCGGGCCTGAATGCGACGGTGGGGATGTCTTTCTCGTCGGCATGTGTAACATCTAGCAATCAGCGAGAGCCTTATGTTTTCGCACTCATCTCGCTCGCATCTCTCCAAGCAGAATTCCAGTGCACATGTAACATTCGCATGGAACAGTTTGCACCAACTTTTTCGCACTGTCCTGCGCTCCTGCCCTCCCCAGCAAAAACCCATATGCAGCATGTGGGGCAAGGCGCGCATCGTTGCCACTCTTGTTGCTCGCCTCGTCTCGTCTCGTCTCGCGTAAGGAAAACCAACTAGGGCAACCGTACCAGGAAGCAAGTCCCATAAAATGGCGGTCTGATAAGAACAAAAATCACAACAATCTTCAGCAATACTCAGTCCAGGCCTCCCACTCTTCCCATCTCACTTCAACTCGTCAGTCCCCTCAGGATAACTCCCCTGAGCCTCTGCTACTGCGACTCACTCATTTGACGCGATACGCAAACTTTGCACCCCCCCAGCTCAGTCATTTCAGTTATACAGCAGCCATGAGTCAGTTCAACATTTCGTTCTGGGCCATTGTGCTCCTGTCGGCATTGACCGCTTCTACCTTCTCCGCAGCCAATGCACAGTCTTACCTCGCGACTCGCGCGCAAGCCGCCAGAAAGGCCGCGAACGACGCGGACGCGCTCGCGCTGGCAGCGCAGGCGGATTACAACGAAAAGCTGAAGGCGGAAAACGCGGCGAAGAAAGCCGTTGATGACGCCGACGCTGATCTGGCCGCCGCGCAGACGGACCTGAACAACAAGAAGAAGCAGCTTGATGATACCAAGGCCAAGGGCGAGAAAGCGCGACAGGACACGATCGCCTTCAAGCAGACGGTGCGCGACGAGCAGGAGTATAACGACGAACTCGAAATGGACGCCGGCGAGGCGGAAAACGACGAGAAGGAGTTCGCGAAAGATATCGTCGACGCGCAGGCGCGCGCGAATCTCACGGCGGATTTGCTGACGGAGCAGAACGCGATTGTTAAGGAGGCGACTGACGACTCGACGTACTACGCGCGGCTCGCGACGAAGCTCAAGACGCCCCAGGCGCAGGCGGACGCTCTCGAGGCGCAATCGATTCGCGCGCAGGCGGTTCGGATTCAGGGCGCGCTTGTGAAGCAGGCGCAGCGGGCCGTTGAACGTGTTGGGAAGATGCAGTTTGAGTGGGCTGCGACCAATAAGGATAAGGCCGACACGAGGAAAAAGGCCGATGATCACAAGCTTGTGTTGAACAAGGCTAAGAAGGACGCCGCTGACGCCGAGACGGCTTATAACGCGGCTGTTGTCGAAGCGAAGAACATCGACGCTGCGATCAAGCAGCAAGCCGTCGTGGTCGTGGCGAAAACCAAGGTCGCGAAGGACGCGCGAATTCCGCTTGCGAAGGCGTCTACCATTCGTGCGCAATCCGAAACCAAGTACAACGCGCTCAAGTCGCGCGCTGACTCGTTCAAGGCGGCTGCGGACAAGGCGGAGAAAGAGCACGCCGACAACGAGGCCAAAAACAACGGTAACGGCAACAACAACTAGCCTGGCAACAGCCAAAACATCGCGCTTCGGACACTCAAACGCTTTCTACCAATACTGCCGACGCTCCCGATGCTTCGGACACTCTCTCGACACTCCCAATGCCAGCTTTCTTCTCATTCACGTCTCTTGATGCTTCGATCTTTTCTCGCGCCAAAAAAATGCCTGCTGGAGCCCTCCTTGGGCTTTGGCTCTGTGCCTTGGGGAACCCACTTGTCTTTGTCTGATTCGCTAGCTGGGACATGTGTGTTGCCTGAGAAATAAAGGCTATCTTGTGATATTCATTTGTTCAATTATATATGCATTATTCCTAGACTGCTGTGCCCACAGAAATAACGCCCTAAGGTATTCGTTCTTGTGAGAAGATTTCCACTAACAAGACAATTGGGATTGGGATTGGGAAGGCATTGGGATTTCAGAGTGTGCAGCAGAAAGGCTTGTTTTGCATTTATACCATATTTTTCCTTGTTCAATACTTAAGACAGCTTCTAAATTCACTTCATTTGTGCAATTTAGGGATAGGTGACAAGAAACTGCTCATGGTGTGCTTTGGGACAAGGGAAAACGGGACTGGTCTTGTAAATGAGTAAGGGTGCACCTAGGACCGAAGTCATAGCCATATGAAGGATATTGAAACGCCAGCAAGGCTGAAAGCTCTCTTGTGTCGGCACTAGGACCGCCTAATTCCTCAATCACGGTTCATCAATCCAAACCTGTAGTTGCCTCTAGATGGTTTAGTTCTGAAATCTCCTCTATAAACCTGCGAAGCGCATGAGACAAGAAATACAAGGGCACACAAGAACAAGTTTAGAGTCTACTCCAACATTGATTCGTCTCAGGCAAGACCAAGAGCTCCCAGAAACAAACAGCACACAGTGGATGTTGAGAATGGCTCCCCGTGGAACATGTGCCAAACCAGCCAGATGTTTCTTTAGCCTGCCCAGAACATGCTCAGGCTGCCCATGAAACAACATGTGCAACATGCGCTACAGTAGCAAGACAGCTCACCGCGTGGAGTTGAGGAGTGCAGTGCCGCCCAAAACGACCCGCGTGTTAAGATTCCCCGCCCAGGTAACATGCTATAGTACCAGCCAGGTAGCTCACCGCGTGGAGTTGAGGAGTGCAGTGCCGCCCAAAACGACCCGCGTGTTAAGATTCCCCGCCCAGGTAACATGCTATAGTACCAGCCAGGTAGCTCACCGCGTGGAGTTGAGGAGTGCAGTGCCGCCCAAAACGACCCGCGTGTTGGGATTGGAACTCATTGGGATTGGCTGCGTGGAAAGCCACATGCGCTACAGTAGAAAGACAGTTCACCTGGTGGAATTCAGGAGTGCAGTGCCACCCAGAACGACCCGCGTGTTGGGATTGGCCGCATTGAACAGTGCCACTGCTCGCGCCTCTTCATAGGTTGTGCCGCCCACCACAAACACAATCAAATCTTGGGATCTGCAACGGCAGGAATCAGAGGCAGGGGGTTGGAGGTTTAGACGCAGGGGTTGGAGGTTTAGACGCATGCGCTCGCTGTGTATGACCAGAAGTTGCAGCAAGGGAATCCTGGTCATAGGGGGTGATGCCTCATTCAGGCACCCCTTAATGGCCACATCAACCCCTTCCAACCCATTTCACCCCATTCCACCCCATTCCACCCCCTCCTCTCCTTCCACCTGGAGTGCTGGAATTTCCCCGGAATGAATGGGTAATCCGCCTCGCTCAGCTGGCCCTTAGTGGCCACAGCAACCGCATTCCACCCCTTTCTACCGCCCTTTCTCCAACCTAGATTGCTGAAAGTTCCCTGAGATAAAGGGGTAATCCGCCTCGCTCAGTCGCCCCTTAGTGGCAGCATCGATACTCGGAAAAAACACTCTTTTCCGCCCGTTTTCACCCTGCACAACACCCTTCCACCGCGTCCCACCACTCCCAACCCACCTGGACTGCTGAAAGTTCCCCGAAATAAAGGGGTAATCCGCCTCGCTCAGTCGCCCCTTAGCGGCTGCATCAATGATCTGGGCTATCAGCGGCTGGTGCTGCGTGTATACATTCTCCACGCCCTGGGCAGAGGGAGAGAGGAAGATGTGGAAGGGGTGGAGGGAAAGGTTGAAGGGAAAGAGTGGCAATGATGATCTGGGCTATGAGTGGTTGGTGCCGTGTGTATACATTCTCCACGCCCTGGTGAGAGGGAGAGAGGGGGGAGAGGGAGAGAGGGGGGAGAGGGAGAGTGGTTGAGGAGTGAGTAACAAGCAGAGGTTATCAAAGGCTGCATCAATGATCTGGGCTATCAGCGGCTGGTGCTGCGTGTATACATTCTCCACGCCCTGGGCAGAGGGGTGGGGGAACGGGTGGAGGGAAAGGTTGAAGGGAAAGAGTGGCAATGATGATCTGGGCTATGAGTGGTTGGTGCCGTGCGTATACATTCTCCACGTCCTAGGCAGAGAGGGGGGGGGGAGGGAACGTGGAAGAGTGGGAGGAGAGCGGGGAACAATGGAAGTCAAAACGAGACACAAAAAGGCTAAGGGCCAAGTTTGTATTCTGGGCTATCAGCGGCTGGTGCTGCATGTATACATTCTCCATACCCTGGAAGGAAGAGGTGGGCGGGAACAGTGGGATGGGAGAGGCAGAGGGGATGGGAGACGCAGAGGGGATGGGAGAGGCAGAGGGGATGGGAGACGCAGAGGCACATGGCTTAGCTGACTTTTGAGGCGCCTCAAAAGAGAGGCAGAGGGGATGGGAGAGGCAGAGGGAATGGGAGACGCAGAGGCACATGGCTTAGCCGCCCATCGATGATCTGCGTCATCAGCGGCTGGTGCTGCACCTACACATTCTCGATGACTTTTGAGACGTCTCAAAAATCATTTGCGCAGGACGGGGAGAAGGAGGTGAGGGAGAGAAGGAGGGGGAGAAGGCTTTTGAGTCGACTCAAAAGTCAGATCTGCGTCATCAGCGGCTGGTGCTGCATCTACACATTCTCGATGCCCAGGTGAGGGAGAGAAGGAGGGGGGGATGCGGGAGAGAAGGAGGGGGGGATGCGGGAGAGAAGGAGGGGGAGATGCGGGAACCAGGGAAACGTGAGGCAAAGGAAGATGCCTCAGCTGGTCACATTAGCTGGTTTAACCAGGCTAAACTAATGACCCGAGCTGGTGAAGACGGCTGGTGCTGCTTGTACACATTCTCCCACGCACCATGAGAGCGGAAGGGCGAGGAGGAGAAGAGTCACATCTGTGATTTGAGCTATCTGCAGGAACCTGTTACAAGCGAGCTGTATCCTCTCTATAGGCATCTTCGATTCCCACTTACCGTGAGCCCTCGCTTCACATTCCGTGCGACCATATTGAGCAGATCCCTACTGCCATACAGGTCTGCGACTCGCCTCTTTGATCCGAACTGACGCAGCAGCGTGTAGACCAGCTGGCAGGCAGGGGAGGGGATGGGGGAGTATGAGGAATAGGGAGGGTGCAGGGGAATGGGTTGGTTTACTGCGAGGAGGTGTGTTGGATTTGAACCCCTGCTGCCGTACGGATCGGCCACTCTCCTCTTTGATCCGAACTGACGCAGCAGTGTGTATATGAGCTGGCAGGCACGGGGTGGGTTGAAGGATTGAAAAGACAGGTGAGATGACTATAATGAAGAGATAGAGCTTGGAACCTGCTGCCATACAGATCCGCGATTCTCCTCTTTGATCCGAACTGGCGCAGCAGTGTGTGTGTACGAGCTGCGAGGCAGTGGGTGGTTCAAGTCAAGGAAAGAAGTTACTTGTGAGTCGACTCAAAGGGAGAGAGAGGCGAGGGGCTGTGATGCACACCCCTGCTGCCATACAACTTTTGAGGCGCCTCAAAAGTAGTCGACTCAAAGGGAGAGAGAGGCGAGGGGCTGTGGTGCACACCCCTGCTGCCATACAGATCTCCGACCCTCCTCTTTGATCCAAACTGGCGCAGCAAAGTGCAGAGCAGCTGGGAACGCATAAGGGGGTTCAGGATCTGAACGAGGATCAGCAAAGTACAGCCCTGGAACGCATAGCTGGAACGCATAAGGGGGTTCAGGGCTGTCCTCGTCCTCATCTCTCCTCCCACCCACCCCTCCACACCCCCTCCTCACCCTTCCTCACCCCTCCGCACCCTCCCACTCACCCCGGCCTTGTACTTGGGGTTGCGGCATACGTCACTAAACTTGTTGATTACAGCCTGCAGGTGCCGCGGGCTGTCCTCCTCACCCTCCAATCACCACTTCTCACTCCTTTTCACCCCTCTCAACACCCACTCACCCTGGCCTTGTACTTGGGGTTGCAGCACACATCACTGAACTTGTTGATCAGCGCCTGCAGGTGCAGCGGGCTGTGCTAAACACTCCCACCCACCTCTCCTCACTGCTCTTCACCCCGCCTCATCCCTATTCACCCCTCTCAACACCTACTCACCCCGGCCTTGTACTTGGGGTTGCGGCACACGTCACTGAACTTGTTGATCAGTGCCTGCAGGTGCCGCGGGCTGTCCTCCTCGTACCGCAGGGCATACAGCATCACCAGCCTTAGCTTGTCCACGTCAGCAATATCTTGAGACGCCAGCTTCGCTGCTACTGCCTGGTGGTTTACAGGAAATCAGAAAGGAAAACGGGAGGGGACAGGGTGGAAAGGAGGATATTGGGATGGGGGTGTCTCCTCCTCGTACTGCAGGGCATACAGCATCACCAGCCGTAGCTTGTCCACGTCTTCTATGTCTTGAGAAGCTAGCTTGGCCGCTACGGCCTGGTGGTGGAGAGAATTGATGGGAGGAGAGGGTGGTGGGGAGGAGTGGAGGGACGGGATGGGGCTGTCTCCTGTCTTGTCTTTCTCACTCGCCCTTCACACCTCGAAGGCAGCAGTCTGCCCTGTCATGCACGCCAGCTCCTGCTCCACTTCACACACCGCCATGAGCTTCCTGCTGCCCACCACACGCTGCAGCACTGTCATGAGTGTCCCTCTCCAGCAAGAAACCTTGGGTGTGGGTGAGTGCATGCGTAACTGGTACCACACT